GTTCTCTCTGTAAGTAAGACAAAGCACATGATTCAGCAAATTGGGATCATCATGGGACATTATCACCCCCCTCTGCTCAATGCTTGAGAGGTGGCGTCTGGAACGTGGCTGTCTGGAGTCCCCCAGTTCAAGAGCTGTGTGGACAAAACAGGATCCAGTCAGTGGAGGACTACCAAAATGGTGAAGGGCCTAGAGTACCTGATACATGAAGGAGATGCTGAGGGAACTGGACTTGTTTAGGCTGCAAAAATAAGATGAAAATATGTTTTAAGAACAGTCAGCCTTTATGTCAAAAGAAGTTACAAGGATGCCAGAGATTAACTGTTCTTGTTGGCAACAAGTAACAGCAACGCCCCAAATTGTGGCATGGGAAGTTCAGATCAGCCTCCGAGAAAACCTTCAGAAGCAACATTGAAACTAGTTATTTGGAGAAGTGCTACAGTGCGTGGAGGTTTCAGGGACTCAGCTAGGGAAAGCCTCACTGACCCATCTAGCATAGGCAAAGTCCTGCATCGAGTGGGAGACTGGACTAGAGAGAAGTCCTTCCAATAAGCTTTTTTTTTGTGATCTAAGAAGCTTCATAAAATACAAGCTACACTGTATGAGCAACACTGTCAACCAGGATGCTCTTCATTTCTGAAAGAGAATATGCTGATTTTTTTTCCCAGGAGAAAAAAAAAATGGTCATAATAAACTGTATTTGGATGCCCTTTGGACTCAGTGGCCCTTATGGGCCCCTTCCAACTTGAGACACTGTACGATGCTCGTGAAGAAAATACAATCTCTAACTTCACTTTTTTTCTGCTTCAGAATAAACCCTAAATCAGAGTGATCTTCAAAATAACACCCATTATCCTATAGCCACTTGGCAGCACCTAAAAATGATCAGTACCATGATTTGGCAGCACCAAAATAGACACTGCTAACAAACTCAGCTGAGAAATGGAGGTTAAGCTGCTGGTTCAGTCATTTATACATCCAGCTACAAAGAAAGGAGCCTTGATACAGCAACAGGAAGGTGCACGTGTTGGATTCACCTAGTCAAACTGCTCTGACTTCGGCTTGGCTTACACAGAGCAGAGTTAAAACATTAAATATACTAAGAAAAACAGGATTATGAACTCATAAGGACCACTTGCATGGTTGTTGAAGCTTTCTTTGTGAAAAAAAATTGTGTTTGGAAAAAGTGCTGACTGCCTCTAACCCTTTTGACAGAAAATTCAATTTTTCTGCAATCTATGCTGTATTGCATGTTAGACACTCAAATACTTGAACATAATGCTTATTTTCAATATCAGTACTGTGTCGTGCTCAAATACATTTAAATAAAGGTCCTTTCTGTAATTTCTCATTTCAGGTACAATACTTGTGGCTTTTATATGGGATGAAATATTTCCTCGGATATCCTGAGACATCAAATCCTGAAATCTGGCAGTACTACATTAAAAATTATTTTCAACATCTGCAGACATGAAGCTTTCAAAGAATTGTTGACATAGACTTCCACATCACCTTTCAATTGCATTTTCAGATTTCACGTTTGAAATATTAACTTATCACTTTGTATTCAAATAGTAATTTTGTAAGTGCGTGTTGGGATTCTGGGAATATCTGCCACCGTTTTCAGTTAAGCCATATGAATGTGAAGGACTGTTAAAATACTGAAACTTTGTCACTTTAGCCATAAGTGCCATTTGCTGACCTTTATTACAACAGCATGCAAAACTAATTTTAGAGAAATACCCAGTCCTTTCGAGGTTTGAATTTATTGGACTTTTTCCCATAGAAGGCACCTGCAAAAAAGGAGCTGAAGATCTCTTATACTGACATCATCATATTCCTACTTGCCATATATGTATCTCTGAGAGGAAGAAAGGCTACACTACTCCCTAGAAGAGTCTCCACAGCTCTATTCTTAGAGGCACCCTACACCAAAATTGAAAGTCTGTAGGACCAGCATTGTTTTAGTAATACCTGAGTGCAGGTAAGTAACCTCTCACTTCCTGCCGGGAAGGCTCTGCCGCATCCTGGCCCACTGTAGACTGTCGAATGTTTACCTTGGTTGGAAAAAGCAGTAGTGAAGTGCCATAAAATTCTGTAGACACACAAGTAAAAGGGCATTTGAGGCAACCGCCCCTACTTTGTATCAGAGATTACTGCTGCCTCTTCATATAGACACAGTATGTAGGGATGAGTCATGGGGTATTCAATTTGTCCTTGATTTTATGCAGCTTTTAGCGATTTTTAAAAAAAATAAATAAATCTGCAATATAAGAGAATAAATAACAGAGCTAAAAACCACAGGAAAGCTCCAGACACAAGTTGGCACAAACATGCCCTTTATAGCCTCAGCTAAGGCAAGCACCACCGACAGGTACCACCCTTGGAAGCTCTGCTTCTAGCATGAAGTTTCTTCTTCTGGATGCAGCTTAATTTTTAAATATGCCAAAATAATTTTTTCAAATTTAGGAGTAAATTCAGTTTTTCACTTTATAGTTACTAGGTTTAAAAGGAGAGATGGTTAACAAGTTCTACAAAGATCTCAGTAGCATGCCACCAAACTCAGCATCCAAGTCACCTTACAAACCATGTTCTAAGAAAAAGGGAATCAGATGGGGTTTTTTTTCACAGTAAAATTATGAACCAAGTATTTAACAGGTACTATTGCCAGCTATCTTTTTTGCAAGAGTTCGGGAAGTAAATATTTTCATGTAATTTCCAACTTGTTGCAATAAAATCTTTTCTCACTTATATTTTCCAAGGTACCTTTAAGATTATATTGCAGAATGAAATCAATGGTTTGAACATGCTTTACATACAAGAGTTCCTAACCACGACCCTGTATTCAGTCATTAAAATAATAATAAAAAAAATCAGCCTGTTAATACAGTGAACTAGAACTAGATAACTGGGTTATCATTCAGCAGCTCATGGACACTAGTGTGTTGGCCTGCTAAAGGAAATTGTCTCTGGTAAAACTATTCATGGTAAAGACCACACACGGGCACACTGAGCCTGGTAAGAGGTGATCCTCAGAAAAAATATTTACTTTTATACCATGTTCTGCTTCTAAAACAGATACTTTGGGGGGGTTCTAACTTCCTTTCCTTGCTTTACTGCTTTTTATACCTTTTACCTATTTTTAAAGTGTGCTATGCCTTACAGATTTTTTCCCCACTTTTCAGCCTCATTTCTTATGGAAACAAACCTTTCATAATTTACATGATTTGATGTTTTCTCTGAGCCCATGAAGCCCACAGGGTAAAGGTCCCAAAAATAAACCTCAAAGAGCATAAAAACAAACAGGGAAAAGAGAAAGCAGAGAGACAAACCTACAGGGCAGCCAAGATTTGTTAGATTAGAGGCTCTACTTCCGTGTCATTTCTGAAGGCCTGCAAAAGCAAAGTCCATAAACTGAAAAGGTCGTAACAGATATGACTTCTCCACATCTGTATTGTTTATTTTGGCATAACATATAGTTTAAAAGAAGTCGGTACAAACCTGGGCTATTAACAAGTAGTTGCTCTATTTATAGCCACTAGAAGTAGAATATAAAATTGAAATAAAAATCACTAAGAAATAGACAAGCCTTAAATTGACTAAATTAACGCAAAACAAGCAAACAAAAAACCCCACAAAACAAAAAGTAGCAGAAACAATGAAAAATAAACCCAAGTTAGGAACTGAAGAATTTAACTATTTTTGGTAGGACAGACAAAAATGAGTATTTAACATTCAAAGCAATGAATGCTTATGAAGTACACAACACTTACACACAGCCTAAATGCAAAGTTTTATTGGAAATAAAACTCGTCAATTCACACAAGACACTTCTCAGTGCTACCCTTCAGGGCTCATCCAGGTTTGTTTCCACCTCACCAAAATTAATTTTGCTCCATTGACTGGGCTAGAAGAGAAGATTTCTGTTCCTGGAGCTCCACATTGGTACAACACAAATTCTCCCTTTGGAGCTTCCTAGTGCTCGGATGTAGTGAGAGTGCTGAGAGGAGCTGTGTACAGTCCAGCTGCCCTGTGGTTAACTGTGCCCAAATGCCAGGGTATGTAACAGTCTGCAGTTTAGTGTGGAAAAGAACAGAAAGACCACACTGCAACTCAGATTTACACACACACAGAAAAACCCACCAGTATGTTTTAACAGTGACTGCTGAGTTAGAGTTGAATGAGCCTTTTGCCTAAACTATGGTGCTGGTACAATTTTACCATGCTAAGATTCTCCAAATCCCAGTGCAAAAATCAACACATCACTCAGTACCCTCCTTTGTTGCTCTGTATCCCTAACAAAATCATGCACATATTTACATAAACACATATATACGTATGCATATATAGGGGCTAGTACAGACATTCTTGTAGAGTGTCTTGTTGTGTAACATGCTAAATACCTCATTTATTCAGCTATGGTTCACAGCACTATTAAGACATCCCTAATTTGACTGGCATTCCTAATGAATATTCAACAAAGGGTGGTTATAATTACCAGGTACCTTGAAACCAGATCACATCCTAATGTGCTAAGCAGGGCAGGACCACTCAATACAACTCCAAAAGTGTAGAGCCAGTAAAGAAAACTGTTCATATACCAACACTACAATATTCCCCAAAAAAGAATCACAAGTCAACTTCAAATCAAAGGAAAACAGAAGTTTGTTATCAGACTTTCAATACTGGGGGGAAGTGGGAACAACCTGAATTTGCTGACATTGCCCCATGGCAAAAACACCACCCACAGAGACATGAAACAGGAAAAGCTGCAGTAGGACCAAGATCTTGGCAATCTAAGGCCAGGTTCCTCAGTTTGAGGTGTGTCAGACTAACTCTATCACAGGCACAGTCTGCAAATATTCCACCCTTTTATCCTCACATCTGGGTAAATGATGAAAATGGCTTCACTGGAGGTTTTTTGTTACAGAAGAGAGTGCTGAAACTCAAGGGCTGAAGCTGTTTGCCAAAGAAAAGGACTGAGAACTACAACACAGAGCTGGTTGTGAGATACAAAAATCTTAGTTTATTTAACAATGTTAACATTTAATATAAAGACACAAAACAGTTCTCCTTCTCCGGACATTACAGACTTTACTCCATCTCCTCTACGCCCAAACTCTGCTTCTCAGAGAAATGAAAGGGATAGCACTGAAATGATAAAGCCAGTTACTTGTGGGGCTTTTAATTTACTTTTGCTTTTAATCCTTGGCAACCCTATTTCCTTTTAGCTGTCACACTTCTATGTCCATTCTACACCATGGAGTCAATGAACAGGTAAAAAAATATGGAAAATTCCAGGACAATCTAAAATTCTGTTCTACTTACAGTTTTATTTCTCAAGTCCTAGAATTCCTACAAAGGCTTCTTTAAAAGGCCAGAGAGGTTGCTCAGAGAGTGAACCCATCCCTGGAAGTGTTCCACAGCCAGCTTGGGATGGGGTCCTGAGCAACTTGATCTACTGAATGCCATCCCTGCCCATGGCAAAGGGGGTTGGAACTAGATGATCTTTAACTGGGATGTTCCAACCCAAATCATTCTGTGATACTACGAAATGACCCCGATTAGCCCCATTCAAGTGTTAGATGCAAGAGGTTTTATTGTTTTTGTTTTTGTTTTTTTTAAATAACCCCATAGTGGTCACAAATGTCAAACCCTGTTTTAAACAACTCTAAAAGCATTTATTGACCTAGATGTCTAAGCTTAGGTCATTTAAAAAAAAGGTTAACTCCCGATAGTCACTGCAATGCCTTCGGTTTTACAGCTTATTCTGGAAGTGCCACAAGAGGAATCTGAAAGACACAAGACACCCAAGTTTACATAATTGGCATCAAAAGAATATTAACCTTTACAGAGTAGTAACTCTCTGTTGTTTGCAGTCAGAGGGCAGCACTTTCCTGCAAACCCACTAATTTTCAGAAGGGCTGAGCATCTTTGCCTTTGGCAGCAGCTCCAGACTGAGGTCAGCTAAGGACAGCATGTGCTTACAGCATGTACTAGGGTGCCCTGGCAGACCCCGCTGCACTGCCACACACAGACACAGCAGTTGCTTAGGAACAATTACTGCAGCCTCGTGATGCAGCAGACAAAACACTGCTTCTTGCAAGAACAGTGGAAATGTCCCGCATCAACCATCAGCAAGTCTTCCAGGAGCTTCAACAGGAGACTGTCACATCCCATTTGAGTAACGAGCAGTGACACACAACGTGAGCGTCCCACAGGGGCAGAGCTTCAGAGGCAGAGCACTGCACTAACCAACAAGATGTTCGTGTAGATCGTTTTGCAGTTCAGGAGGTTAAAAGGGCTGAGCTGTTCCAGGGAGTGCCCATAAGATCACAGCAGGCTCCCTCTCTGTCCTTATTTTCAGGGTGCAGAGCCAAGGCACCCGCATGCTCAAACTTGTTAGCAGGGTCATTAGCACAGAGCTCCAAGAGTGTCCTTGTCACTTTGCACCTTCAGTTATATATTGCTGCCTTAGATCCTAGACTTCTGAACTTACTTAAATTACATCAACACACTCAGGCTGGCAGTTACTTAAAAAGGGCCACTGAGTTCATGGCTCCCGAAATGCCACCTGGAGCAACGTCACTGCCAACACCTGACACTGCACACGCAGGTCACTTATCTGCTCGGACAGGGATCAGCTCCTCAGCTCTGATCAGCACAAGCAAAAGACAGAAAGAATCCCTGTCCAGTTACCTCTCACAACATTAATCTCCGACAGCCATGTGCTGCACCATGGAAGGCATGGAGTAAGCAGCAGGAAGAATTCCATGACCAAAACTACTTCTTACTGGGTGTATTTTGTGCTTTGCTAGAAGATTTCCACCAGCACTTTCAGACTCCTTAGAGATCTGCTATGAGCCACTAACTCTCCTTAATCCAGCTCAAGTTTAAACCCGGATAATAAATAAAGCACTCAAATCTGAATTTTTCCACAGCATGATTTTTTTTTTTAATAAACCACGGACCAGAGTAATCTTGGAGATGGAATCATCAGAGCCAAACTTTCCATTCACTCTCTAAAAGGTACTTGATCTACATCTAAAGGCTTTCCTTTAATTTTAAAGTCTATCCTTTACCAAACTGGGTAACCATCCAGTGGCAGGACAACCAGTATCTGGACTTTTTTGGAAGAACTCGTCTCTGTTCTGTGAAGTCCTTCCTAGGGTAGAAGTGTGACTGCAGAAAAGTTTGAGCTCTTACACAATAAATACCAATTCAGCACCACTGGCAGTGGTTGAGGTAAGAGAACACAGAACTACTCTGAGACTTTCCAAACTGCAACAACAAAGAAAAGCAACAGAGGAGGAAAGCAGCTGTGCATCACCCCTCCGCAACAGCCTTACTCGGGGACTGTGGCCTCTTTCTCAGTGACACTGTAAGCCCTAATTAACTACTTTCCACTGACTTTTTTCAGTGTGTCATCTTCCTATTTGTGCCCCTTTCCTCCATCCTCCTCCAAGCTTCTGGCTGTCTGCTCCACAACTGTTTTCTCTGGTGTTTCAAGTGGGATAGTGTGACACTCACTTTAGGGTAAGGGCTGTCAGTCTCACTTACAAAAGAGGCAGAAGAACTGGGACCTTGCAGCACCACTGGAGCACCACGTGCAGTCTGTGCAGTAGTGATCACACCCCCCGCTGTGCCTGTGCATTTCCACAGACAGTCCCAGAAAAAGCTGCTCTTCCTCTCGCACCCAGCACCAGCAAGGAAACACTGGCACATCTTGTAACACTAATAACAGGAGAAAGCAGCACACGTGATGGTAGGCAAGAGGGCACACTGCCACAACCACCTGAGCAGGGTGTTGCCTGTAAGCTGTGCAGTCCTGATAGCAATCCCATCCAGAGTGCATGGTAACTTTACCAGGAACTGCACAGTTACTTTACCAGGAACTGTTCCTGCTCCGCTTACGGTGAAGGAAGAGATGGACTTTCAGCACTGTGAACTGTCCTGCCTCCCTAAATGGCCTGTGAAATCCTGCGCACTAAGGGCAAAACATACTAAGGACAGTAACTTCCCAGAGATGGCTCCAGCATTCATATACCAGCATCTAAGAGCCTTTGGGATTGGACAATTCTTAAATCAACTAAAGGGCTGACCTGTCTTCCAGACAGGCATATCCACACAGGTTGCCTCTGCAGGGTGATGCCAGTAGGCATTTTGGACAGATCACTGAACATCTTTCCACGCTTGTGCTAACTACAGCTACCTTTTCCATCCTCTAAATCATCGCCATCATACTGATATGATCATGAAACATTGCCTGAAGGAGATCTGGGATCACATACATTACACACATTACTGAGAGGGAAGGCTCTGCAGGACTGAAAAGCATTGCTGTTGGAAGTCAGAGGAACTTACAGCAGCGTAGGTCCTCCTCAGTGATCGACTTCTGCATCTTCAAACTGCCCAGCAACTACTGGTGCTACGTCCACCTCCATCCCATCTGAAAGAAACAGCCAATGCTCTGTAACCAAGTGGATGATGTTTTCACGGGAAAGAGTGCAGATGCCCTCTGCTGACAAGACGTGGCAAGGACAGAAAACTCCTATGAACTCCTGAAAGCAGTTTAAGGAAACACTGATGTGCTCGCAAGTTTCTGGGTTTGTTCCAGCTCTACTGGTTGGTCTCTTAAAGATGTCACTGCTTCCTACAACCTCACCTCACCCTGTCTTATTGAAAGACTTAAACACTGGATTAAAACTATTTCATGTTTTAAATGAAGTTTCAGCATAACAAATGGTGTAACAATTCCTTTGAATACCTCTAATTATGTTCTAGCAAAAAGAGGTTAGATCCTGTTCTGAAACCAGTCTCAACAATCATCAAGTTGAAAAAAAGAACAATTGCTCTATGCCACCATGTCAAACATTAATGTAATTCTGAAACTCAGTAGCCCTGGGGAGATTTATAATTGCAGAAAACCAAGCAGCAGCACCATAGCAAATAAGGTTAGGAAAATAAACAAATCTGATGAAGATGACTCTGAGACATGTGACATACTTGCTGTTCAATTTATATTCATTTTCAAAATTTTGGGGTTCAGAAACCTGACTAAATTTTCAAACAAAGGGCACTGCTAAAACGGGAGTGTATCACCTAAAGTTGTCTTTACATTACATAAATTTATTTGAAGTTGCAGAACAAAGAGAACCTGTAAACAACAAACAAAACAGATATAAGATTAAAAAAATCCTCCCTCTGGATGAGAACAAGTTAGTTATTATTTTGTTGACTGTTCTACACAAGCTGATAGCTAGAAATCCACAACTGCTGCATCATTCTCCATCTTTCAAAAACATCAGGGCATATTAAAAGCACTGCAATTTATATAGATTAAAAAAAGCAATGCTGTTAAACTACTTCCCTGTTCTTCTCCCAAGTAATATATTGCTCCACTGAAAACAGGATGCAGAAAAGGCAAAGTCTGAGAGACCCGTTTTTTTTCACCAACAGAAAGAGATTTTACTTCTTAAGTACATATTTGAATAATCAGTAGAATTAAAAGACAGAATCCTTCAGGAAACTAGATCTTTTTTTTACATCTCTTTCAGTATCTTTCATTGTTTCTGAATTCACCCTGAACTCTGTTAAGACAATTATTAACTTACAATTTAGGGTATTAAAAAAAACAAACAAAAACTACAACTCATCTAGAGTAGAAATTGCTTCCTAATCCCAGTGTAGACTGGCAAGTTTAATTTTTTTTTAATCCTAAATCCACTTCACACTACCACTATTCCAGGAAATTATACTGGGAAGAATCAAGCATTGTTAACACAGCAGTGCTCACTCTCTAACAGAGCAGCCCTCAATAAACAGCTGGCAACACCCTGCCTTGTAGGGCCACAGGCATGTGGGTGATACCTTTTGCAGTGAAGTATGACTCACACCATCATACTTGCTCTGTCCTTGTGTTTATGGATTAGCCAGATTGGAGAACCACTGCTTTCATATCACAGAATCACAGAATGGTTTAGGTTGGAAGGGACCTTGCAGACATGGGCAGGGACACCTTCCACTAGACAGGGTTTCTCAAAGCCCCATTCAACGTGGTATTGAACACTTTCAGGGATGGGGCTTTCACAGCTTCTCTGGGTAACCTGTGTCAGTGCCTCACCCCCCTCATGGTAAAAAATCTTTTATCATCTGAATCTCTCCTCTTTTGGTTTGAAGTGATTCCCCTTGTCCTATGGCAACCAGCCTTACCAAAAAGTCTGTCCCTATCTTAAAGTACTGAAAGGCCTCAATAACATGTACCCAGAGCCTTCTCCAGGCTGAACAACCCCAACTGTCTCAATCTGTCCCCATAGGAGAGGTGCTCCAGCCCCCTGATCATCTTCATGACCTCCTTTGGACTCGCTCCAGTAGGTCCATGTCCTTCTTACGCTCCAGACCCCAGAGCTGGATGCAGTACTCTGGGTGGGGCCTCACCAGAGGGAATAGAGGGGCAGAATCAGGTCCCTCAACCTGCTGGCCACGCTGCTTTTGATGCAGCCCAGAATATGGTTTTCTGGGCTGGGAGCCCACATTGCTAGCTCATGTCCAACTTTTGATCCTCCAGCACCCCCAAGTCCTTTTTGACAGGGCTGCTCTTAATCCCTTCATCCCCCAGCTTGCATCAATACCAGGAGTTGCCCCAATTCACGTGCAGCACTTTGGACTTGGCCTTGTTGAACCTCATGAAGTTCCCATGGGCCCACTCCTCAAGTCTGTCCAGGTCCTTCTGGATGGCATCCCATCCTTCAGGAATATCAACTGCACCCCTCAGCTTGGTGTCATCTGCAAGCTTGCTGAGGGTGCAGTCAATCCCACTGGCTATGTCATTGATGACGATATTCTTTAGTAAAACAAAAGCATTTCTTACCTTCAAACTCCCTTATCGAGTCCTCTGTTCTCACTCCAGCCATGTTGTACTGAGTGCTGACAGACTGGGCTAACATGCCTTCTAACCTCTCCAGCGTGGCCTGACCTTCTGCAGTTAAATGTGACAATCCTTCTTCGTACGTGTAAAAGCTTGGGATGTCACCTTGTTCTAGCTCTGCAAAAACAAGTTTGTGTTTATCAGACCTAAGTTTAGGAGCCTGCAACATGCAGGGGTGGAGGAGTAGGACATCAGCTAGGCAAGTTATGCTCAGATTAACTGACTGAGATAAAAAAGCTGCTTACATGAGGTACAGAATGTACACAGTGATGTGAACTGACCACACTGCAGCATGGGCACTGAACCTGGGCTAGCACAGCCACTGGGCAAAGGAAAGCCTGCTGTTTGCATCTGTGGCCTTTTGAGAACCAGAACAACGCTTTTGCTGAATTCCTGTGATTTGTGACAGCTAAACCACATATTCCCTGCAGATTTACGTGTTTCTATACTGTGTCTGTGACAAAAAGAATGTTTTGGCAAGACGAGTAATAAACAGACACCAGGTGTCTAAGTGCTGACAGGTATTTCAAAAGAAGCAACTGTTACCAACCGCGGGCCTCAACATCGTACTCGTCCCCTTCGTAATCGTTGTCTGAATCGTCATCGTCCGGGTCTGGGTGCAGAGCTTGGCATTCACACATGGCTGAAAACATGGCTTCCACTGCAGGAACACAAGTGAGTGCAAACCTCCCTTGTTTCTACACCAGTACCCCAAAACAACAAGCAAGAAACCCTGGACTGAGTGATCAAAGAGATTAAGAATATTCCTTGAGCAGAACCACCACTGAATTCATGTTTGAAAACATCGTCTCACAAGTCAGCAGCCATGCAGGAAACAAATCGTGTAGATCCCAGCCTGGTGCTTTATCCTCTTAACAGCACTTCTCCGTAATTTCACTGATGATAAAGGTGAAATGGACTATGGACAATTCCACCTGTGGTTACCCACTACAGGAATCCTTGCAGAATCTCATTCATCAGATTCTTAAAACTTGAATCCAACTGTAAGCTCCACACCAGACAGGATATGACTGCTTTCCAATGGTAGTGTCTGGGTATTAACATTTTCCTAATGAAATTGTCGCTGACTCAAATATCACTGAATTAGTAATTTAAAAGACGTTTCCCATGCATGTTGTCTCCAAATGTATATAAGTGAGACTGTTCATGTCATGTATTTATACTCAACAGTCTCTATTTTAAAGCATTAGAATTTTCCTTGAGAAGCCGCTGCTTGAAATATTCCAGCTTCAAGGCAGATAAAAAAATTTGCTTTGTTTTTTTCAGCACACAGGAATCAAGGAATTAAAAGGGCACTCAAAAATCATGGCATTTACATCTCTGTACCCCACTGTCTTCCACATATAGCCAGGACTTTAAATTAAGACACAACTTCCCCCTCACTTACAGGCTGATTTGTCATTAGGTACAAATCGGAATTCTGCAATCGGTTCAACATCGTCATCGCTGTCGTCCTCCTCCTCCCCTTCAGCCATGGGAGCCTCTTTTGTCTCCTCTTTAGGAAATTGAAATATTTAAGAGAAATGTGTTTATTTAGTTGAAAAAAAAATAAAAAAAGAAAGAAGTCACATTTGTTTATTATTTCAGGAACACACATGTAATCAAATCAGAAACCTGGACACAACCTGACAGAGGCACAAAAAACCCCACTCTGTTCTCCCAGAAAACCCCATGAGATTCCAGGACTCACACGGACATATGAGGTCCTCTCACAGCACCTTGACAGCACTTGCAAGGCACACAAAAACTTCTCTATTTATAATTTTATGACTTAAGATTTCTGTAATGGTCACACAACGTATTCACACACCTGAGGAAAATTGCCTGATCCTTATTAAAAACAACTGTGCTCATCCCCTGCCCCTAATTCACAGTTGTTGCCATTTACTTGCAGAACACTACATGTCTTTTTTTAAATCACATGAATTTTACAGATCCTTGACGTTACTGTCATGAAATCAGCCACCTTCCAGTGTGGCCCCTCACAGGGGACTCTGACATTTACAGAGGATCTCTACTCCATTTCCAGTATTCCTAGTTAGCCAGCGAGATGTCAGAGGTAGAAAGTACACCCAGAGCCAGTGACAACTGTGGACAAGACGGCACTTCCTGGCTTCTGTGCATGACTAAATAAGCAACAACACGGTGTTTTACTTTCTGTGAATATAAAAACCACAGAGATGGCTGAAGTTCATCACTTTGTGGCTGGGGACACTGCACTGACAGCCTCAAAAGTGCATAAATATTTTCTACAGAAGAAGAGGCTGTTCCACTGAGAGTGGCTTTTATCACATACAAAACTGGCACCACCAAGAATATGAAGATGCCAAGAAGCTGCCAGCCAGCTGCCCCCAAAAATGTAGTGTGCAAAGGAAGCTACCCAATCCTTTTCCAACTGACACCCGCAGGCACAGCTTGTTACTGTTGAGTCCAGCTCTTCGTTTTCAATGGAGTCAACCTCTGAGTGCCTTTTTCTGAAAAAGGGGTGAGGACAAGGCACACACTTCATAGGGAGCACAACAAAAACTTTCAGAGAAGAACAAAATGTTCTCTGCCCAACTGAGAATGAAGGCTTCTGCAGCCAGGAAAGCAGAAAGGTTTGAGTTTAACACTATTCAGCAGTTAAAACTGCAGACCAGGGCTAGACTTGAAAACTAAAATCTACCTGCTGTAGAAGATTTACTGTAGGCAGAGTACATATATATAAAAGAAAGTTTACACACATGGAGGAAATACCACAAAAATCAGTCTATTAATGATTTCTAGATAAGAATTAACACACGATATCTGTATTTTTAAACACCATGATCAGAACGAATTAAAAGCTAGAAACAGTATCTTTCTTCAGACGAGGCTCAGTTTACTTCAAAATAACTTGTTAAAGGAAAATGAGGAAGAAGAACCAAGAGGAGGATGCATGTTCTCTTATTATTTGTAGTGATAGACTGTCAGAGATTATTAGTAACTTGAGAGAAGGAAATAATGAAGAGCATTAATAGCTTAGAAACGGCTCTGCCTCCTCAGAGTCTTGTCATTACTTTCTGGATACATTAAAAAAAAAAATTAAATGCCAGATTTTAACCTTTAACAATTATGACCAGTAGGCACAAAGGGGAAAGAAGACCTGCCCAACACCTAACACCCATTACTCTTCAATTGAGATGGCAGTTTATGACACACTTAAAATATTAACAGGTCTACCATAAGAAAAAATATATAAAAAAAAGCCAATGAAACAGAAGGTTTGTTTTCTTGATATCAAAACAAGAAGAGTCAAAAAGGTTGGTTTTCTGGGCAATCTACAAAGATCGATTAAAGCCTGGTCACATGACCTATTGTCTTTTTTTTGTTTTTAAGTAAGCTGTGGGAGAAAATTAATGAAAATTTCCAGGCTGCTGTGAAACAGCAGGAATCCATAAAGCCTGGAGAGGGCAGCAACATTAATATAAATTCAATAAAGAAAAAATTATACCCAAGCTGGAATCACAGGGAGACTGCAGAGGAACTAAATTGTTTAAAACAGTGTAACAGAGCAGCAAACTGATTCTCAGCATCTCCAGCTGTACACAGTCACATGCTGAGAGCAGAACTGTACAGAAGCGAGTCCAGAAGAGTGCAAAGCTGTACTTTTAAGACAACTATACTTTGCAAAAATGAAAAAGAAAATACAAGCTATTACTCAAATGAAGCATATAATTTTTAAAACCAACATTTACTCTTTTTGAAGAAGAAATCATGTCAGTTATGACAGTGTGGGAGCGCTAAGGAACCCTCCAGGCATACCTTCAAATTTGGCGTTCACCATGACATACAAGTGCTCCCTTGGGAAGGCGCTCAGGTCCCTGGAGACGGCATGTAAGCTTATGGTGGGATAATCCAAGGAGAAGCCAACTCCAGAGTTTTCCAACCAAGACAGGCGACTAACAAGGAGGGGCGGAGGAAAAAGAGAAAAGTTACAAACTAACAGTGGATCCATAGTACCTGACTCAAGCCTGCAGAAAAGCAAAACAACCCCAAAAGAGTAATTCTGGACAAGGCACTCTCCAGGCATACACAGACCTGGACCTGCCCAAACAGGACTTTGAGAAGAGGTTTCTTTTACCTCAGCCAACAGTTAATGCCATTGCAAAGAATGTGAAGCTGAGCACCCCAAACACATTGCAGCTTTATCACATTTGCACTGAATGTTGAATTTCTCTCCTTACCTCTTCATTTTCTCCTCTCTGTAGGTACCTATCATTCCAAAGATAACTACAGTGGTTCCAGAGTGTGATTTATAACTCAAACTATTCAATGTGGTTTTTCAAGACAAGGAGAACACCAAAAGAAAAGTCAATATCACAATTTCTAGAGAATTATAGATCTGATGTGAGTATAGCCTGGATGTATAAAAACAAACAGTTCTGTGATCAGCAGAGCTAACAAAGCCAGGTTATGAGTATTCCTTCCCTTGCAACTTATCTGTATAACCTCTGCTTCCCCCCACTTTCACTCTCATCCCTAACTAACCACAGCAAGAGACAGCACAGGTTGTCACCACTGGGCGCTGCCTCCTTCATATGAGAATGATCAACGTCTTTCTAAGCCAATGAGAAATCACACTCAAGCTAGTTTTGGGTGTCTGCAATCAATGAGGTCACACAGTGAACAGAAATACTGATGGGCAGAAAGCAAGACCTCCACCACATGCAAAACTCAGCATTCATAAGCTTTTGTGGAGGGATAGAACCAATGGAAAAGTCACAAAAAGACTCCTTGCCTTGGAAAATCTGGCTGAGAGCAAGAACTAGTGCAGTGGGAGCAAAGAATTTCTTTCCTAGCCTCAACTGGGCAGTCCTCAATGTTTACAGCTGCTGATAGAGAATCAGTACACAGATCCAGAGCCACACTGTCCTCCTGGGTTCTCCCACGGCACTCCTGCAAACACTGGCATATTCTATTCATTACCAGCAAGTGACTATGGTAAAACCTATGCAACGTGCTCCAAACATGTTAAGAGGAAGGTGGCAGCCTTGTATTGTGCCTCACACAAAAACCTATAGAAAGCAAGTTACAAGGAAACTCAACATTACACCTCTTGAGACCTGATGCTGCACAAACAAAAGCTCCAGTATCTGTGACCAAACTAAACAAAAGAGTAAACAAAATTCCAAAGAGATTCTTCTCCAACACAACACCACTAACAAGGTGGGGCAAAATATTGACCATTTTATAAATGTTTCCTAGTCTAAAGGTTTTAAAAGACAATTCACTCCTCCATGCACATTCTAAATGACATTTTTGTTCTAACAATGCTCTTCTAGTGCAGAATATATTAAGAGTATTTACCATGGTCAAAGAAAATTCTGTTGGTTTAATCATTAACCTGTCTTCTTGAGCTACACAATGCAGAGAGGATTTAGAGGAGACTGTAAAGAGCTCAGATAACATCTTCCAGAATAACCAGACTGATTTCTGCCTAGTAAGAACATACAGTCTCCACGTGATTAAAGCAACATGAAAGAACCACAGTAGCTGATAACAGCAGAAACCCAACAGCCCTATCCACTTGCCTGTCAAAAGAGGAGAGGTGCCGTGTTTTTCATTATAGAATGGTTTGGGTTGAAAAGGACCTTCATGATCATCTAGTCTCAAGTCCCTGCCGTGGGCAGGGACACCTTCCACTAGACCAGCTTGCTCCAAGCCCCATCCAGCCTGGCCCTGAATGCACCAACAGTCGGGCTCCCGTGCCGTGCTGTTCCCTTTTGCCTTGTTTAAAACACCGCTTCGAGCAGGAACAGCGGGACACTCACACCCCTGCCCCTCACAGCCCCCCCGAGGGCCTCCTCCACACCCTTATCCAAATCACCCACATCCCCCCTCGGGCAGGTCCCTCAGGGGTGACCCCACAGGCCCCTCAGGGGTGAGAGCCTCTCCGGGAAGGGTCCCACTCGCCGGCCCCCTCAGGATACCCCGCAGCCCCCTCAGGACGCCCTCAGGAGCAGCCCCCTCACAGCACGGCCCCCCGAGGGGTCCCCAGCGCCGTGTGTTCCCCCGCACCTCTCGGCGATGTAGAGGGTGCCGGCGCCCAGGCTGCGCCCCGCCAGCAGCGCCTCCGTGTCCGGCTGCTGGTGCCGAACGCCATCGGCCGGCGGCAAGGGAACGCTTGAGGAAACTCCATGGCCGCCGCCCGCCGCCTCCCTTTGCTCCACATTCGCCGCCGCCGGAACAGGAAACCGCGCTTGCCCTGTGATTGCAATTCCCCCTCACAGTTCATCGGTGGATCGGCGTGGGGAGGTTTGGCGGGCTGTCCACCTCGCAACCACAGTGTTCCTTGTCACCTCGCAACCACAGTGTTCCTTACGGTCGGACGTATGTACGTCCGGAGCGATGCGGGCTGTGCTCCAGGAGTATCTCTGGCAGTTTTTGGAGTGAAGTTTTCATTTTCTGGAAAAGAGAAGCAAAGGGGAGGCGCTGAGGTGATCATTGAGGGCCAGAGCACCTCTGCTGGGGAGACGGGCTGAGAGAGTTGGGCTTGTTCAGCCTGGAGGAAAGAAGACTCCAAGGACATCTTAGAGCCCCTTCCAGTATCTAAAGGGCTACAAGACAGATGGAGAGGGACTTTTGACAAGGGCATGGAGTGACAGGACAAGGGGTAATGGCTTTAAACTGACAGAGGGTAGGGTGAGATTAGATATTAGGAAGAAATTCTTTACTGTGGGATTGGTGAGGCACTGGAATAGGTTGCCCAGAGAAGTTGTGGATGCCCCATCCCTGGAACTGTTCAAGGCCAGGCTGGAGGATGGGCATTTGAGCAACCTGGTCTAGTGAAAGATGTCCCTGCCCATGGCATGGGGGTTGGAATGAGATGATGTGGAAGGTCCCTTTCAACCCAGGCCATTCTATGATTCTGCGATTCTATAGTTGACAGTACTGGCTCCAGTCCTAAAATCATAGAATATCCTAAGCTCGAAGAAACCCACAAGGTCAAGTTAAGCTCCTGGCCATGCACAGGACAACCCAAAGAATCACACCGTGTGTCTTACTGAACTCTGGCATACCTATTTTAGCATGTAAGTCTCTGTTGGAGAGGTGAAAAAGGGAAAAACAAACACAGCAGCTTTTCAAGTGCCATTTTCAGATGCTGGAAAGGAAATTTTAGGTGGATGACCAGCACCTAGTGCCTGATAGATGCACACAGAGAATAAAAAGAATGTCACAAGTACCTGAATTGCCTAAAGAGTATTCAGTTGATTTCCTTAAGCATTGATGGACTCAGGATCAGGAGCCCAATAGTACTATGATATGTACCTACCCGGGTGCAAACCCAGGTTCTCACAAACACAAACTAAATATGAACAGGATTAGGTCACCATCTTTCCCTTCTCTGGACTTTCCTAGTTACAGTCTTGAATAGCAGAGAGCCAAAGCACTGCATTCTGGAAAAGGAAAGCGTGTAAAGAAATCAGGGGGAACAAGAACATAATGTGGTTCTCCTAGGCTGAGCTTTTCACAATGCTTTGGAAAGCTTCTCAACCATGGCTACCCATTTTGGATTCTAATTATGCAAATAATTATTACTCATATAAATAATCACCTTGACTGAAATGTAAGCAAATTCCACAATGAAGTGATATTTAAACAACATTGGAATAGCTTGAAAAAAACCAAAGAGGCAACAGCAGATGAGGAAATGTCTCAACCATCTTCAAGTTTGCCGTGCCAAGACAAGGGCTCATTTGGAAACAAAAAATTACAATTCATCCGTGAACACAGATCAGGCTGTGGCAGCTGGTGGGAAGAGATGCAAAAGCATGGAAACGCCATTCACCACACTTTGTGGTTATAAATCAGTATTCCTGCTCATGTCCATTCCCTGTTACCTAACACAACTGTCATATCAGCCACAAAGAGCCCTCATCACCTCTGTAGTTAACTCCAAATCATGCAACTCCTTTAGGTTGTTAATTTATAAGATTTCTGAGTGGTTGAGGTTGAATTGAGCCACTGCAGTGGAGCAGTAGTGTGTTCATTTCTCCTCCTGGTGCAAATGCGAGTCTTTCTTCTGTCACATACCACTCTTTCAAAAGAAAATGGAAAAAAGGATGGTTTAAGTCCAAGCAGGGAAGTTGGTTTTGAGGCCAAGGCATTAAGGAGGAGGAGAAATCCACATCTTCCTCGTTTATACAATCGAGACACTTCATACCCCAGTACTGAGTGCTGCACCTAACAGAAGTTTAAAGCAGGAAGGTAGACATTTCCTGGAAGTTTACAAATGGAACAGAATGGTACTATTTGAAAATGCTTTTCCTCAGCTGTAAGAGCTTTAAGTGAGTCAGGACCCAAGCCCACACTGATATCTGAACACTGGGTGTCCAACAGTGATTTAGTCAACAGGGCCATGTTCAGAGGCAATGGACAGCAGCAGGTACCTTCTCAGGATTAAGAGTCACCTTAGGACAGAATGCAGAACTTGCCATCCAAGGGATGCTTGTTTCTCTCCACAGCACTGCCTGCCATAAGATGGCCAGTTCAGACTTAAAATACCCAGAATCCACAAAAAAAATGCAAATATAAAATTTTGGCAGTGGATCTGGAGCAAGAGGAAGATTTTCACCGCAATTTCTCATCACTACAGGAACATGCAGTAGCTTGACTACAACCACAAACACATTTGAATAAAAAAAAAGGCTTCAGTGATTCACACAGAGAAAAGCCACCCTCTTCTTTGATTTCTCTCTCCCTGAATTTCTCCTGTTAAAGTCCTGAAATATCTGGTGTGGCCACTGCCATTGCCACATGTCAGAACATCTGCTTCTTCAGTGCGTCTCTGCAGGCTTCCTTTTTTTCCCCCCATTTTTTCCAGATTTTACACATCTCAGCCTATATCAATGAACCTGTCTCCTCTCTCATTAGCACTACATGGAAACCTCATGGATGTCTGCTGGAACAGCCTAGCTGGGTACGGTGCTGGCTGCAGGCATACTGGTTTTTGTCAGGTGACTGCAACATCACTATGAAATGAGATATAAAAATTATGTAGAAAATGGAATACATGCAGAAAATCACTGTGACTGCAAAAACAGTCCATCAGATCTTCCACACCATCAGCCAGAGCTGGTTGAAGAAAGAAAGAAAGACTGTCAGTTGAGCTGCCATAAAAAAAGCAACATAAACCATGAGCTGCCCATTCCCAAGGCAGACAGTGGGAATGACATGCAAGGAACCATCACAGGCTGGAACAATACACAGCAGCCATTACTCTGTGCTTGTTTTAAAGCTGAAAAAGAAATGTGCATGTGTGATGCCCATTAAAATTCACTTGTATCTTCAATACACATTATACTTTGTACATCAAGTTATTTCAATTTTTTTTATTATGACAATTTACATGTCATATTTATATGAAAGAAATGACAGTAGATATTATAACAAAACCATTATGAAAGAAAAGTTACACAATTAGGCCTACAAGCTATAAAATGGCTTCAGGCCCAGCTTATAGACAAAGAGTTCTGACCAGACTGTAGTGAGAGACAACGCTGAACAATTCATTAACAAAAATATTGGCACCAGCCTTAACATTTTTTTTTACTTCATTTACAAGGAATACAGTATTTAAACAGTTGTGTACTGCAAATCTAAAAACATTAGCTGTTATTAAACTGCAGTTAACCCTTTGAGCACTGAGGCCACCATGACTTCCATTTAAAAAAGTTTAAACGCAGCATGTTTTACATGCACGTGGTATTACTGGTGGGAGGGAAAAGACAGTGAAAGCACCACCCAATTTATGTGCAACAAGAATAACACTTCCAGTTTTTTCAACATATCTCCCCCCCTTCCCACACACACAGTGTGTGTCCCCTCGGTCCTTTCCCTTTGATATTGTAGCAAGTCATGATTGAAGAGAGACTGAAGAAAACCAAAGTTCAGGACTCAAGAAACGCAAGGGTTAAACTCTACATAAAGAGCTCAGCTTGTGGAACTTCACTGTGTTAATTCTTTAGAGAAAGAAAATAAAAAATGAGGCCAGCCGTGAAGGAGACCATTTTTAAGGAACTCAAGATTTCTTTGCAAACAAACAGCACCCAGGAGTAAGACAAAACTGTATTTCATGAAAGTGTATTAAAGAGACCTGTCTGGCAGATTTGATCCAGTTCTCACAGAATATTGGAGGGTAACCATTCTGCTGGCAAGGGACCTGTTCTATGTTACCCAGGACACTGAAAATACCTGACGTTTGTCTAATGTATAGGATCTGTGCCCATGTGAGAACCGCTGTGCACAGCAGGAATGGTGACATTATGCGTTTGAACCGGTCACATCCCTCTCCTGGCTGCAGCGGGAGGACTGTGGAAAATGGGCAGGAACAAGCAGCCACATTGGCATTGACAACACATCGATTTAATGCAAGTTTGGGGGAGTATCATTTGAATGAATATAGGATAGGAATAAGACACTGTACAAGATTTTAGAGTCCATATAACGGGTAAAAAATGGCAAACTAAACAAGGCTTACAGTTTTATGATTTGATTTCCTTTTCTACCACTACCCTGAGTAGCAGATTAATATCTATTAATGACTTTTAACTGATCTAACTAACAAACAGTGCACTGATAACTAGGCTTATCGTATGTTTTCATAGAAGGACTTTATCCCCGTAGAATCATTTAAGTCAAGTTCTGACAGACTAATCTAAGTTCAGTTGTGTGGGACACAGTAAAGGGAACAAACAAGAAAGCAAACCGTGTGGACCAACGTCCCCAGAGGCAAACATTGTCATAATATTCTATAGACTGATCCTGATTTTTTCCACATCCACATTGCACTGATGGAACATTATCTATTCCTTCAAGGAAGGAGACCTCAAGTATATTTTCCAGTTACTTTGAAGGTCAGGATGAGAAGAGGAGGGTAATTGGGATGTTTCTCCTAAATGGAGACCTTCCATTGGAAATACAGTCTTTAAAGGGCAAGTCACAAGTAGTTTTTAGGCCTGTCTTGCAAATGGCATGGGTTTGCATACACATTTTTCTGCTCCACTTCCCTCCATCCATTCCCCATCTCCTTCTGCTATTTGAACAAGCATCCAAACAGCAGGAGCAAGTGACTCCGTCTGCACCTGGGGAACCAGTGAGACCGACTATACACAAAGTGCTGCAAAGTGCACAAAGTAAACCAACCGAACAACAGAGCCCCTCCGTTGTTCAGCCCTTGGTAGCAACCTTTGGGGTTATATGTAGCAATAGTAGATACTTACAGGCACACATGCGCCCTCTAACTGCAGTACTGTCCCCTCTCCTGCTGCTCAGCTCAGGTGTGGGGTGCCAGCATTTACGAAATGACAGTCAAAAACCGAAGCTGTAGGACTTGTTTTTAATTGCAGTTGAATCTGGAGGCTTTACACCACAGATTCAATTATAAAAACTTACCTACTTTAGAGTGTTCTGTTCTTTCCCCCAGAACCTCTACACAATCTTTTTTTTTTGTTCTTTTAAGTGTCATACTAGCAATATACATCTTTTGCAATACACAAAGTAAGTTAAATTACTCTGAAGTGTCAGGACAATCAATTCCCAAGCACACGTTTTTGTTGTTAGGAACTATCTCAGTTAGTTACACCTAATCTAAAAGAAGAGCTCAATAAGTGAAGTGACTTTCTGAAGTGACTGGTAATCCTCAACACCCCAACTGCAGGGTGTCCAGATTCAGAAATAATTTCCAACTAGTAAATATTTCTGAAGCCAGAGTTCTCTGTTAGATCTCAGATTGGGAACTCAACTGTAAAACATCAAAAATTAGTCACAGAATTTTTCTAACATCAATATATACCAGAAGGAAAATGATCATGTCTGTTGGATTTTTTCTACTTTCCGCCTTCCAGTGTTTCAAGTGAGATATAGTTCCCATCCCAGCTGTTAGGGAAGGGGAGGAAGAAGAAACTAACAGGAAATGTGGTCTTGATCCTGTAAATCCTTACTTCAGACAATATCCTAAATGCTTCTATATATGTATGTACGTTCTAAACACTTAAGGAATTGCAAAATTCTGCTCTTCCATTTCTAGAGTTTCCCCCACCATACTCAACACAATGTTTTTCCCAAAGTTACTGTCTTGGTTGAAGTACTTGATCTTTTATATATATTTATATATATTTAAGGATTTTATATACCCACCAAATCGGAAGCATACATCAAATGTAAATACATAGCTAAGGGTGCACGCTGCACATCAGAACCATATTACAAGCCTGTGAACAGTAGCCACTGCACATGTACCAAAACCAATTTTCAAGGCCTATATATTGCCATTTTGAATGAGATGATACAAATCTCTTTCGTCAGACCAGTTCTTGGGGCAAGTATTACTGCCATGATTTATTTAAATCACTGTGTACAAAGTGAATTTAAAAAAACAGGTGCTATAAAAATTCCTCACTTACTTTTTGTAAAAGGAGTTTTTGAAAATATGTGATTGGAAATGATTATTGGAAAGTTTAGACCAGGATTTCCTGCTGAAGAACACTGAAAACCAAGTTATAAGCACCTGAAAAGAGAGGTATAAAATGGACACCCTGACAATGAATGATTAGAATTATTAAACAGTTGCAGCATCTGGATACCAATGTAGTTCAAATGACAGATGTGAAGAGAAATCAGAACAAGTGTACCACTACCATACAATTTTTCTTTTGTGAATATACATTTTTCCCCTAGAGTTTCTTTGAGTAAGGTCTCACAGCAATTAGAAAACAGAGGTGAACAGAAAACAAAACAAATCCAGCTAAGTCATTAGCTCCTATGATAGGAAGAGTAACTGAGACACTTAATACAAAGAAATCTTGAAGGTGACGTACTTCATAAATGAGCAATTTAGAAAAAAGCATCTCTTGTTTCTCTCAAGTGCTGCTAGAACAGAGCAATCTTTTCATTCAAAAAATAATCAGGAAGATGCAGTAATTTTATAATGTAATTCAAGATGTAGGAAATTAAACTATCAAAAAGTTGATTGTTCAGTACTGACCTTCCTACAAGATTTCAGTGCTATGAGTTGTTTTGATGATGTCATTTTCCATTTCTAAATCAAAACGATGCTCAGGTTTATCAGACTCAACAATTAGAAGACAGCAACCATGGTGAAACCCAGTTCTTATCACTACCACCCTTCTGCTTATATTAATGCACCACATTCATTAATTGCACAGTGGAGCTACTTGTGCACTTTGTGTTGCTGACAGTCACACAAGTCCCATGCAAGAAAGCAAATATCCAGCATCTATACTGGTGACACAAAAAGAGTCCAATCTTCCGCTCAATTTATATGTTCTTCCCCTCAGCAATGCTACTCAGGCATTCATTCTTCTCCCAGTCAGTTAGAAGAGTTTGTAGTTAAAAAAAGACAAAGCTTCTAGTGACAATCTGTGTGGAATAAACAAGAGTTTGTTGAATAAATGCTTTGTATGTTCAGCCGATAGCTGCTTGTTCTAGTACTTCTAAATCCATCATGTTAAAAAAATCCCTGGCCTGTTTTCCCTGTTTCTTGTATGGTTTGAGCTTTCTCTAAGCCCAAAGCTACACCTGAAGATCCCTCCTCAAAGGCAGTTAATTTCTGATCTCACAAGGAGCACAGAAGGGCACAGGAATGTGAGGACACCAGGAAGACATTTCCACTCTGGTACATACACGTACTGTAACAGAATGAACCCTCTGTGGCAGTCAGCTGGCCTCATGTCGGAAAATGTCATCTTCCCAAATAGGAGACTGTTCATTTTCCATCAAGCAGGAGGCCTTAGAAATGAGATAAGTGTTTTAAAATGGTAACACTTTCCAGGGCATTTTTTGCAGTTTTATCTTGCACACCATTCCCACAGGATCTAAGGAGGAACTCTAGATCCTGTGGGATAAAGCCAGCTCAGGTACCAAGGGTGAATTCTAGAAGACAGAAAAGTTGTTTTTGAGAAGTGACCTAGAGAAAGTAAAATTTGGTAACAACTGGTCACTTTTAAAATACAACACTCCTGATGCAAGCTTCAATGCTCCCATTCTGTTTCTTGGTCTTTCCTGCTTTTACATCACTCCCTAACTCAGTACTCAATTTTTTTTCCCCGACTGGTGTATCCAGTACTGTAAGTCTTTTGTATTTTCCTACATTCACAATTACTTGGTCACTAGGTATTGAACATTTAGGGTTGACTCTACAAGCAAGAATGTTTGCTACAGCACTGATCAGATACTAAAAGGCTCCATCAGGCAGCAAAGAAAAATATGGCACTGCCAAAACAAATCAGAAACCATCGGTTGCACGCTGTTGCTGCACGTGAATCAGTTTGCACTGCAAGTATTAAAAATGCTCAGCAGCTACTACCATGGACAAGTGGAAGCCGTATGTTCTTACTTGTTCTAAAACACAAGTATATTAGAAATGTAGACGCACTACATTTATGGGTCACCTAAGCAAAGCAAAGCACTACAGTAGCTTAAAACGCTACATATGCTTTTAAGAACTCATTGTAAGTTTCTGCGGCTTTTCACTACCCTGTTTTAATCATTTAACTGTTAATTGTTAACATCAGTAAGGTAGGAAAATATTTAATCTTTGATGAAATTAAATTCTCATTTAGAGAGTGATTTCTCTTGTTTGTTTTTCTTAAATCACAAGCTTGCGTAGCACAGCAGATAAAGAGCAAGTTCCATCTTTTTGCATCTTCTTGATCCTAGTTTTTTAGCACGATATGTGCACTGCTAGAACCCAAACGAGTCATGGAGTGGTTCTGATAGACCTCGTGGAGAAAGAGGTGGGGAAACAAAACCAAGACTTTAAAGGCTAAAAAGCAGGTAATTTTTGGATCTAGGTTTTCTAGAGAGGTATTCAGTAAAGGCCTAATGCTGGTTTTATTACAAGAAAAGAAGTGCTTAATGACTGACTAGTAAATACAATATAATGGAAGGGAATCAGGTGGGGCAGGAAAGGAGAACTCACTCCTCGGTGGCAGCAGCAGTTTTGGTGCATCCATTGCCGGCAATGGACATAAACACCAGTCAAAAATCCAAATCTCAGAGCAAAAGGATTAATAGATGTGACCTTTTTGGATTTCAATGTTCGGCAGATCTGTTTGAGTTATCTGTGTGCTGTAGCACGTATAAATGCTACAGCCTGCATCTTAATCAGAGTAAAGAGAAAACTGAATGCTCTTGATATGCCCCATATTGGTTTGTTTTGTTTTTTTTTCTTCCATTGGCTTTTTTTTTCCTTGAATAAAAGCATGTATCATTATGCCCGCTCAAAAGTTGGTGAGATGTCTTGGAGTCAGGCGTTTTCTCTCAGAAACACTGCCTTCTTGAAATCAGTTGGTCACATGACAGTTATTAAAATGTAAGAAAATTCTAATGGCCAAAGGCCAACAACTACATTCAAAAACCTGCTAATACATCCAGGCAGATAAGTAAAATCAAAACAAAAACACACATAAAACCCCAGACAGGAAACCTCCAAAAGGAAAACTGTTCCATTTGATTACTTCAATTTGAAGTAGATATTAAGGGCATGAATGGACCAGTCACGGTTTATTTGATAATCCCTCCATCCTCTGATGCACTGTCACTCTGTGGTCAATGCCGTTTGCACAAACACATTTTGTTCAGAACACTCCGACGGATGGTGAAACTCGTGTGGCCGGGCAGCTACCGCAGGGTTCTTTTGTCTGTAAAAGGTTTGCAGCACTTACAGACTTACTTGACATCCAACTTACAGACTAACTTGACATCGATACGTCCTCCCACTAGACACTGTGCATCGAAGACTACCTGATGAACTGAGCATGAGATCGCTTTAGAAATTCATGGCTAGTGTGTTTTGACTGTCAAAAACTTCATTACAGTACACTTCACTGTACAAACACTTTAAAGGATGTTTATTAGGAAAGTCTGCAAGTCATAATGGATAGCAGAGTTCTTGTTTATGGTACCTTCTTGGCCTCTAATAATTCTGTTTGCCTCCAGTATTAAAATCGAACTGCTTCCATGAAGGTGATTACTAAAATGAGCTATGGTATGTTAACCTACAACTCACAAAATGCGACAGTACAGACATTAATTTTGCTTTTAACTGTCTGTTAAGTTGTAATCTAAGTTGTGAACATTTAAATATAATATATATCTCATATGAAAAAGCTAAAGCACAAGTGCTTCTGCACCACCCCCCTCCCATCCTCCCACCCCTTGAGCCAAACCCACCCCAGTTCCGGTTTGGGCCCTGACTGATTTGGAATGCTTTCTTAGGCCACCCATTTCCACAAATTTGTATGCACTCAGGAAATATAAAGTCAAAAATATACAAATCTCTTGTTGTTATAAGGTTTTTGTGAGTGAAATTACCCAGGACCATGGACTTGGAAGGAGAAGGGGGGGTATGAGAGGGAATTTACAGCAATTAATCTTCAAAGTTCAAAACTGGTCACTTCACAGAAAGACTGCAGGACTGGTGAAATTCTTGCTTCTAGAAAGTGATACTGTAGTGGAGAATTTTCTAGGAAAAATAAAACAGCTTTTAATAACTGGCCCGCTGGTATGAGCTACCGTGGAATAAATTAGCACAAAAATGGAAGTCTTATAACTGTTCACTGTTACAGACGTAATCAACAAGGTCAGTCACTCTCAAAAGTTCATCTTCATCTTCCTCTGGCCCTACTGCCTCCTGCCCACTCCCTGTCCCGTTGGGCGCCAGGCTGGCGCTGGCTGTGCTGTCCTTGGGGGCCTGGGTCTTCTCGCTTGGCTTGCCAATCAAGTTCTCAATGGTTTTCCCTGGGCTCTGTCCGTTGGTGGAAGGCAAGTCCACCAAGCTGTAGTCCAAAGGGCTCTCTACTTTCCCTACGTTATCAAAGTCATCTTCGTCGTCACTTTCTATCCGGTAGCAGTGCTTCTTGGGGTTGTCTTGAGCAGCTTGTGCTGCTGGCAGCTTGTTTGCAGGAGCGGGGGTTTCTGTGTCCTCGTTGGCATTTTCGCAGTTATCTTCCTCATCTGTCTCGATTCGATTCAGCCGTTTGCGGACAGGCTTCCCTTCCTCCTCCTCGTCCTCTCCTTCTTCCTCGGAATAGTCGTCTGTGCTCCGCCGACGTTTTCGAATCAATCGCTTCGACTCCTTTGTGGATTCATCATCTTCAGAGTTCTTAGATGTGTAGCTCTCTGGAATAAGCAGCAGACTTAGAGCCATTAGCAAATCTTAGTGCAACCTTTACACTTTATTTTTTCATCTTTCACACTCATTATCGAGCGATCTCTCACCACACACACTTCCATCTCCTCCAGGACCCCCAACCAAGTCAAAACACTTGCATCCTTTTTACTTCTTAAATAAACTCCTAAAGCAGAAAATACCAACAATTTGTTGATATTCTGTTTCCAATCTGAGGAGTACAGGAGGCTTTGGAGGTAGCTGTGTTCCCCTCTAGAACTGCTAACTCCATGCTGGAAATAACACAGAAGTGCATCCCTCATCTCATAGCACATGCTTTATTTACAGCCTGCCAGAAACTGAGAACCCAAATAATGGTTGCTCTATCATGAAATTCAAACACACACACAGAGAACTGTACTATACCCCTGCCACCCCCAAATTATATACAAATTCTTTCAAAGCATATAAATGCTGCCTGACTGTCATCTGAATTTTGCTGCCCTTTAATGGGAGGCTTTTTTTCCTCTGGCAAACTGGAATATTGCCTACACACTGACAGCCTTTGCACTGATCTTTGATGGTTTTGATGAGAAAAGGAGGAGGATGAAAAATCAAATGGCAAACTTAATTTATTGTCTCCTTGTGATTTCCATTAGAAATCCATTTCAAAGGGTATTGTTTAATGTAGGTTCAAGTTGATAGAGACTGTTAGCGCTCCTCTATTTTCAATGTAATACAATTCTAGTAATGTTGTTACATATTTTATGGTATAATGCAGGAACTGTGGGAGAGTGCTGGAATGGTACTTAATGGTGCTGATTTTAATATGCAGAAAGCCAGCACCAAAAATACCTGAGGAAATGGAATTTCATGAAGAGAAGACACTGTCAATCAGGCACTGTTTAAAATCACAAGTGCAGGCAGCAAAAAGCCACCGTATAGTGAATTCTTGAGAGCAGGCTGAATTGAAGTGTATGATCATGTTTTTGAGGTACTACATGCACTTGCATCACATAATTGTTTCCCCTCATCTAAGAGGATGCTCTAACACTCTCTAATTTCAGGGCAGCCCTTCCAAAACTGAGGTGCTTGGCCTGTCAAGCGTGGCTTGTTTTCTGAGGAAGTCTGGCATCCATTGCAACCCACACTGCTCAGCATTCAGAAAGCTGGACCTAAGGTCTCATAAGGTGCATGCCCAGAACCCAAGGCACCCAAAGTCAGTGGTTGCTTTTGTAAATCAAAAACCATTCACTCATGGTGTGATTGACATTACTAAGAGGGGTTTCTGCCACACTTAGCACAGGTCCTTAAACAGGAGATGGAATGAGTCTAAACCACCAGCACAAACACAGTCAGGGCACCAGAGGCACTACCCTTTCTTTTATAAAAGAGAATCTTTAAAGGCTCGTGGGATGGAGCTTTATGACCTCTTAACAGAAAAGTGGTGAGACAGTTATATTAGTGCAGATTTCAGAACCCCAGCATTCTGTGCCAGATACAGTAAATTCAGACCTGAAAGTCAGGATTAGGGACAATGAAACACTTTCGAGAAGTGACTCAGTTAACAGTGCATCATGAAGTACCAGTGGGCTGTTTCAGAAAGAAACAGTTTCTGAGAAATATCAAGGAACTGAAAGATGATTCTCTGAAATCTTGGAATTATATACAGTTTTCCCTTCATGGTAATGCTGACAATATACGAGTTCCTGCGAACACCACACTGTTTATTTTACCTTCACTATCTGAAGTGGAGAGCCTGCGCTTGTGAACTCTTCTTAACTCCTTCCCATATCGGACACTTTTCTGTGAGCCATCACTTTCTGAATCTTCCTTATAATTAACTTGTCTCTTCTGATTCCGTCTTGATCTTCTCCTCCTAGTTTCCAGGTAATCATCATCACTGTAATCTGTGTACTCACCACTCTCTGTACAGAAGAAAACAGTGACATGCATTATTCCAACAAAGCAAACTGCTCTACATAAAAAAAATTATATAAGCTTTAGACCAACATCAATAAAATCATGTGCTCTTCCAGGACAGACAGTCTCAGCCATTGTGCCTCATTATTCTGACCCATTTATTCTCTCCCATTTATTACCAGTGTAGAATTCTGACCCACTCCAGTTCTCCCATTTATTACCAGTGTAGAATTGCTTGATTTTAAAAGTTTCTCAAAAACCCTTTTGCTGTCTCCCTCAAACTCCTCCAGAAGGTTTCCTTCCAGTGTTTTTGTTGCCTCATCTCTACTGGCACCCAAGATGTCTCTACAATTCCTGACAGTGAAAACAACCTAACTGAATCAGAGTTGATGGTGCACGTTACCACTGACACTGGGAAGTCCATTCTGCTTTTAAAATTTAAATAAATAGTACTCTACTGGAAGACTTTTAAGAACAGGTAGATGAAAAACCACTGACAAGATGAAACTCCAAGATCTGAGTTACAGAATTTAAATTAACAACAAAAATCAGTTTCTCTCAATCACAGGTTTGCTTAAAACAGAAACCATACAGAAGAAACTTACCATCAATCACAGTTTTTCCTCCACCAGTCTACTGCAGCTAGTGTCTTCAAAAACTAAATTTATTTACATCAGATGAAAATAGCCTCGAATCAACTTTAGCTGCTTTTCCACTGAGCTATGCCAGAACAATTATCCCAAGATACATTTCTATACAAGTCTCATACTCTGTTCCTAACTTAGTGATTGACAGGAGTCACAGATCAAAGTGGCATCCTCTTTACTTCCTAAAATATTAGAGAAAGAATCATGGCAAGTCAGCAAGAAAAACCCCTTTCAGAAAGAAATTCCATCTCTGGAGACTGAAAACAAAGCTTGCTCACAGGGCACTGGATTTCCTTAGCTCAAAAGTGGCTTAAAACAGGATCCTGAGGGACAGTAATGAGGGTAAAAGACAGAAACACATAGTTAATGCTATACTTTTAGATATAGATGGCAGGATACTGGAATCAATTGATTTTATCACAGGTGTGTGTCCACTGTGAAACAAACAAGTTGCTCTTGTACATTACAAAATATAAGAACAACCTCTTTATACTTCTGCCAGTATCTTCATCTAAGAGCTTATCATTAGCGCAATGATGTATTCAGGACAGGGAGACAGCAACAACTGCACGTGCATATAGCTGTCTTCATCTGTCTGTGCATAAACCCTCCTTTGGAAACCAGTACTCCAAAGCAACTTACTCCAACATGGTCATCTTCTATATTGTAGAAAGACAGATAAAACACTGGAAAGATAACACACACTACAATAAGTTAACATTCCAGTATAGTTAGTACCTTAAATTCACAATAAAAATAAGTAAAAACAAGTGCTTCTGTATATGGCACTTTCTAGTCTGTGACTCAAATGAAGCAGAAACAGCCTTTGGAGAAAGATGCTGATCATGAAAAGGTTTAAGGTAGTATTCTCACACTTCAAACCATGGCAACAGAAAATGAACTGGTTGAAGGACAAGTAGAATACAGTGAATTATTAGGTTCTTCTGTGATGCAAGAGTCTTCAGTTACTAAAGATTTTAAGGATAATTGCAGGAGAGAGAGAGGCAAGGTGTTATTGTTTGCCTTCAAGTCAACTGGAAAACACAGAATGCCTTAAAACCAAAAGTTGTCTTCCATACAAAGTGAGGGAAAATGTTCCTTTCAGGAGCTTTTTCTAAAGTGTTCAGAAGGTCTTCTAGTAGCTATAAAGCCTCCATTCCTTCTCTTCCCTGCAATCATGTGCCAAACAGGAACGTATGGGGGTAGCTGCAACTATCCACAAAGGTGGCCTTTAGAATCATAGCATAAGCACTCATTTAAACACATAATTACCTGAAAATGCCAAGAACCTAGTGTTCAGTACCAGTTCCCTGCAGAATATTGACAGCAGAACTATTAGCAAAGTACTTTACAGCAAAGATCTGACACATCTGACTTGACCAAAGCAAGCAAACAAGTTAGTGTCAGTTGCAACAGGAAACTGAGATTTCCATTCTTTCTCTTTCCAGTACAGAGCATTTAATGTATCTAAGACTGCTTATACTCACCAGACTCTCTGCTTGAATTTTCCTCAGAATCTTCATCTTCATCATCTTCAGAGTATTTTTTCTTGGCTGTTTTCCTTCGTAACCTCCTGCTTTGCCTCATGGGCCTGGAGAGGTGTCGCCTGGATATGCGGGCACAGAACTCTGAATCACTGTCCTCGTTTGATGGTGGGTCATCTTCACTTTCATCCAGATTTTCCTCTGATATAACAAACTCATCCTGAGATCTGCTCAAAGAAGAACCACACACAACAGAGATCAGTATTGAAAACAAAGGACTGAGACAGTACCTGTGTTTTACAAGTCAGTGGTAAGTATCCTCTTACAAACAGAAACAAAAACAAAAGGCACAAATCTTATCATGAGGAGTGAAGACCCTGAGAGAGCAGACTGCCATCACTGACATGAGGTTTCAGCTGAATATTTGGGATATAGTTCTACAGGGCATGACATTACACAACAGATTAGAACAGCAGGTGGATATAAAACTCTGTCAAACCAGCACCACAAGTGACATTAACATAAGACAGACTCTAGAGTGTTCACGTAGTTCACTGCAATGTAATGTCTGCACAGAAATAACTGTGGGGGGGAAAACACCCACCATGTTCTAGGAGAGGTGACCTTCCCTTCACAAACCAACTAACTATGCAATTTCTGAGAATCAGAATATTGTGTCCTAACACAAAACTACTGCTCTTATGCACCTCACAATCTTAACAGCTCGTAACACTCCCATCATTTCAGAAGTGAGCCAAGGCTTTTTTAAAAACCATTAAGCACTGAAGGTACCAGTTGCTTGTGTTTTGTGTTAAATTCCAGTATAACATCCAGAAGGCCCTCAGCAGAGGATGGAGTTGAAAATGCCTGACTACACTTCAATATATCAATGCACCAATGCCAGATTTCCACATGCTACACTCATTGATTGAAAATTTCCAGCATATGTAGCTCAATTATTCAGGGTGCCACTGAAATGTCCTCAGCATGGCCACAGGTGAAAAACAAAGCTCAAAATTTGCATCTGTCTTGTATAGATTTTTCATACACTTAGTAAATAGACTCAGTGACTGGTGTAAAGCTTTAAATGTTGCTGGTAAAGACCCTACAGCCTCATGCTTCATTATGTTTCTTCATTGAGGCATGAAGTTCATCTAAAATTATCAAATTTTTCAACATCAGGAATTGTACAGACTGAACAAGGAGAAATTTTGTGCAAAATGAGTTTCAGTTAGCCAGAGCAATATTCATTTAGCATGTAAAGCTTCATGTGACACCTATTTGTTTTCTATAGTATAAACCACTTCTTTGGCTGTGTTCAAACTCCATCTCCTAGAGAGCAGCAATCAAAAACTCATTTCAGAACCTGTCAAGTTCTGTATGCTCTAAATAAGAACATTTTCCTCTTCCAATTTCTAAAAATTGGTTAAGGATTTCTGCTCGACAGTCACATCAGCCAGAGAACTGAGCCCACCTGACTCCTTCACTAACAGAACCCTTTAGTGAGGCCTCAAACATCCCAGTAACATTTCCAGATCATGTTTTGCTTAAAATACAGATTAGATGATTTCAGCACATGGATCCAGAGCGCAGTTTTTCCAGTACAATGACATTCCCCTAGGCCAGAAGGACCCCAAGGCAGGGGGTTTGGAACTAGGTGATCTTTAAGGTCCCTTCCAACCCAAACTGTTGTATCATTCTGTGACTTCTGCTGGCACTGTGCAGTGCCATCCCAGCACTGGGAACATCCTCCTGATGATCATTTCAGGGGCACTGCAGAGTCACAGAAGCCTGCAGTGGTCAGTGACTTATGGAAGTTAAATTGCAGACCTACCCATCACTGATCTTGAATTCATCCTCACTCTCTTCTTCATCCAGATTACTGTCACTATCCAAGTCATTTAGTCGCCGTCGTTTCTTGCGTCGTGCTGCAGCAGCCCTTTGTGGTCGCTTGCTTTCCTTCCTTTCTTCCTCTAGGATTGTGGAAATGTCTTTTCCACGGTGACCGGTGATATTTGACATGTCTTTGCCCCTGCCAATGCCTGAATTAAGTGACACAAAGGGGTAAAAAAGAGCAAGTTTATTTTCTTGCTTAACTTGCTACAGATCTTTCTCACATGCTTCAGCTTATTTTCTGTAAAAGCAGAGTATTTTTTTTTGTCAAGCAAGACTCTGTCCAGACTCTTGTTCCTGACACACAAAGCCCAGCTCTGTCCACTTGGAAATACTGAGGTCCAGGCAGAGGGTTGAGACTTGGTTACATTTATTGTATGGGCCTTGTGTTACACACCCAAAGACACCTGATTTTTACATTGTCTGTGTACATTCATGAGCTTCTGAGAACTGGTGTCTGTAGGGAGATGCCACAGGCCAAACAACTGAGGAACAACGTCTCATGGCTGTTTTCTCCAGGCAAGTTAAGGTGATGCAGAAGCACAAATCCATCTCCACCTCTCAGATAGTGCTGAAGATCTCTCTTTTGGTCCCCTGTGTTGCCCTAACAGGCAACAAAGAACAGAATTTCACTTTATTCATGTTTAACTGAGAAGTGCTTATAGAGGTGGATGAATATTGTTAAGACAACTTTGTACACCCCATCTTAACGGGGTCCAACTGCAGACCAATTTATGAGCCCTATTTTTACAGGGGAAAATGTCAATAGCACTGCTGCCATTCCAATCTCAAATCCAAAACTTAGCGAAATAATTTTAAGAGTTTTCCTGTCATGCTTATTCATTGCATATAACAAAACACATACAAGTTGAATTTAACTATCAAGGCTAAATACTTTCTGACATCTTTTGGCAGCCTGGGATGGCCATTCCTAATGGAAATTCTTTAGTTCACTTCCAAAAATACGGCAGCAAAAAAACTCTATAAACTATAAAGTTTAAGGGGAAGGATTATATTTGTTGCTTCTCATATCAAAAGAAATTCGTCTCAATTTTCCTATCACCACTGCAGTGCAAAACAAATAACATCAGAAACATACCTCCTCCATCAGCTTCCTTGATATCATCTTCAATTGCCTCATCAATTGCCTCATCAAATTCATCAAACCTAAAAATAACAGGTTTCATTTACCACTTTGAAATGAACTCTAATTAAATATACTATGAAAACATACCTCAAAATCTAAAGAAATAACCCTGCTTTAAGAAATCACACTGCACAGACAGTGGTCTGGATATATAATAAAATGACTAAGATAATGGGTCAGATTAATAATAAAATAGATATTTTTTTAAAAGATGTGTTTCTTGTTTCTATTTCCTAAGAGAATATTTGTCATTGCCTGGCTGTATTACTATCAATTTAGGTGAACAGAAATGTTTCATTTTATGCGACATATCCCTGAATTAAACAATATATAATCTGAAAATTCTTTAACATAGTTTCAGTGGCATTTTTCAGGCAAAGCATTAATAATTTTTTCCACACCTTTTATGAGATGACATATGTTCTACCAATCTTCAAAACAGACTTTATGAGAAGCATCTATTAAAGTCAAGGTAAAACTATTCATTCTGTCTACATTTTCCTTCAAAATTCATTTCACATAGCTGCTTTCTCCTCTTAAAGCTCACGATAATCATACTTTGTGGATCTGCAACATCCTAAGCTGAACAGATAAAACAAAACATATTGTACACAGTTCCTTGTGATTCTGTAAAAATAACCTGTAATACAATGTTGTATAACTAAAAAGGACAAACAAAACCAAAATATTTGAGTTTGTCCTTCAGCAACTTTTATAAAACTGCATAAATCTCTGCACTCTGAGTAAGTCATTTAAAGGGAACAGCAAATGGAGGCAAAGGGATCCAGTTCTTTCAAACAGACAACCTCAGTTTGTGCCTTCAGTTATGAATTCAAATTACGTAAAAAGGGATTGTTACCTGTTTCACCAAATAGATGTCTTGAGCTCCATCATGCAAAAGTACAAAATTTATTAACTATATAGGAAAGACATTTCATTTAGATGCAAGTTTTTTGTCTCATTTTTTAAAAAGTAAATTTTTTTGCTTGTTTTTGGTACAAACGACTAACAATTGGACAATACATTCATTAAAGATTCCATTTCTCAGTCATGAAAGAAAGATTACAGTTATATTTATCTTGATCCTCCATAGGAACCTCCAGCAGAACAAGGAAAGAATAAATCTAATCCTATACTCTGTAATTCAATAGTAAGCATAAAACACTTCCTCCTTTAAAAATAAGGTGATGGGCTTCTGGTATCTCAGAACAACTGCATGTCACATTCAAAGCAGCTTTACCCAGCAAGGAAATAACTCTGAAATTATTCCATCAATAAGATTAGTTCCACTCTACTCAAACCCTATATTCTCTCCACAAAGCTACAAAAAAACCCCAAAATCCCACCTCTTCAAAATGTGAGAAATCACTTAACACTGTCAAATCACTGCTAACAAAGAACCTGAGCTCAGCCACAAGCTGACAGCTCACTTGCCCATTAAGTGTAATGGAACATAATTTCTTCTGCTGCTGCTTTATTCGTGGTGCAGGTCTTTGCTAACTTGCTTGCAGGAGGACTCAAGAAACGACTTGGGTGATACAAAGGGATTACAGATCTTTAGACAACCAGGATGCCCCACAGTACAGATCTGTTTGTAAGCAGAATAAGGCATTTAGCATTTATTTTCCCCTGCTGAGGGAAAGCACACACAACTCTCAGTGACACCAGTAGGACTTCACTGTGGACATATAAATCTGACACACTGGTACATGCAATATTTTCACCCACTCAAAGTTATGTGGATGACGTAGTCTGTAAGAAAAACTCTTATCCTTTTATATCAGAAGACTGATTTTTCCAGAACATTACTTCCAATAACAAATATTGTCTTTGCACAACATGGGTCCTGCTGCAGTTGTGCCACATACCCTAGTGTTAAGGGGTTTTTTCTCTTGGTCAGATGCCGCCTGACCTGTCATTAACATAACAGCAAATCTATATAATCTTGCCTGTAGCATAATGTTCCTTACAGGAATACTTAATTTCTCAACGCGGCAATGGCATTTTCTTTAGTGTGACTTCTGCTGTTCGTGTAAAAAGGTACCAGAAATCAACCGCTAAGCAAGGTCAGGCCAAGTTTTCTGGCCAGGTTGGAATGCCTCTCCTCAGCAGCAAAACCAGACTAAGTTCAATGATGGTTATTGTTAGAAGGCTTATTGTTCCAATATTGTAATGTTCTCATTTTTGATGATAAAGGTCTGCATAGAGTAAATACTGGAAAGTATTTTTTAAATCTTCCTAATGCATCTAGGACAAAAAAACACAAGCTCTCAGGCAACCACATTCTTTTCTAATCCCAAAGGTATCCTACTTGCCTGGTGGACTGAAGAAGATATGGAGTGTTTAAAAGTATTATTTAGATATATAAAAATAATATTGGTAATACACTGGGAACAAAAGACATTAATAAGATCATGCTGAATTTTGGAAACCTTAGGTAACCTGTTCTACTTTCAGAATGCATAGAGTTTAAATATCTTGCGTTTTCATTGACTAATTGCATTCTTATCAAAATTTCCCTAAAGAGTTACAGACCATTTTTAGATGTACTGTCTCATAATTACATTTTAAGTTTCATGCTTCTTTCATGTAAAGAATGTGCAAGGTGGGGAGGGGGAAGAGAGCAAGGAATTGAAGGACTTTAGACACAAGCATAAGTCTCCTTTGCAAGAGAAAGAAGAGGTTTGATTCACCTGCTTTAATTCACTCCAGAAACTGCAGTAATGCCAAGACCTTCTCCAGTATTCCTGAACAAAGTACCATACACATATTTATTTTTTTTATGCATCATCCCTTCACTATACCACCTCATGCTGTCACAACCACCAAGCATAACTAGTATTCAGAGGAAAAAACAAAGACACTTTAGTTGGACTTTTCTTTTAAATGTAAAAGTGCGTGTGAGAAGTGGTGGGGTGATTCAGAAAGAAAGCACCTGTATGACTTCTGCTGTACAAGCCATTTAAACAAGCTGCTGACCTGTAGCTTATGCACTTTCGAGTTCTGGTAGATCTCCTTTCAAGCAGTTTTGATTTGGGCTTTTTGGAATCTTTCTTCTTTTCTTCCTGACCTTCAGGTATTTCTGGCTCCTGTTCAGGTAAGACAGAAGTGTCAAAAAGACATATCTCCCCCCTCCCTTTGCACTCATTATGACTGAAGTCACGTGATTCAGATATTCATACCATCTAGAAAGCTAATATGCCCAACACAGCACATTTTGGCTTCTAATATAATAACCTGTTACAGCAGTTCAAGTGAACACTTGCACATCTCACCCTTATTGCCTACATAATTTCCCAAACACAGAGTTTAAAGGTTCAGCCTACTGTATCACTGTGCTCACACTGCAACGCTGAGATTGTGCCTCGGGTGACACTCCCAGGACTAGTAAATGTGTCAGCTGAGCAAACTGTGGCCAGCATCTCTAAGTACTGAGCACAGGGACACCTTTACATGGTGCACTTTCAATAAGGTTCCATGCAGGTTAGTTTTATTACACTGTTTCCAAGTTATTAATTTAAAAGAAAAGTAATCCACCCCTAGTCTTTATTTTTTGAATATTTTCTCCCAAGCATAGACTCTTTGGCAAGTTTGTAAAATCTGTTATCATTTTTCTGTTATCCAGAGACAGGGAGAGAAAGTTGGCCTTGTAACAGTCAGGCAGAGTGGAAAGTCTATGTTTAAAACAAACTAAAGTTTCATTCTAAACTGCATACAACAGATTATATCATTCTGGATGAAGGCATTTGGCTGAGACTTCAAGAGAATGGCTTTAAAATGTATTTATGAAGTGAGAAGAGGCTGTTCTCCATGTGAGTAAAAGCATTTTTCCTCTTCTGTCAAGGGAAACCATCTAAAAGCATAATGAAACATTAAATGTTTATAGTTTTTAATCACATGTGACCTTAACATCCATTTGTTGAAGGCAAATGCTATGCTGCTAAGAGATACTACATATTCCCTCTGAATTATAAGCCAAAAGTGTTTGTTGCCATCCGTTCCAAAGGAAAGCTATGACAATTATCTCAGAGCTAGATAACTATGCAGCAAACACCAGAGTTAAATAACTGAATCCCACCTTTATAAAGTACTGAATATTGGAGCACTCAATTCAAAACCCAGTTGTAATGGGTAGGAAGGCAATTCTGAGATCGCTCACTGACAGAGGACTCTGTGTGGCATCAGTTGGCTCTAATAAACACCATAAAGCTCCCATGGTTTCTCTGCTATATTCAGTCTAAAAGAGTCTAGAATTATTTCTGACCTGCATATAGATTGATTTTTCTTTCCAAGATGCTACTAGCACTTCTGACACACCACTGAGAAACTTTTTCCCTGAGCAGTTTGGAAAATAAAACCATAATACAACATAGAGGCAGTAACTTACCTGAGGTGGAATGATGTTCTCGATACTGATACCCACATACACCAATCGCTCTTTCCTTTAGGAGAGAAAAAAAGTGAAAATAAGCTTACAGAAAGACTGCATATATCTAAAATAATGCTGTATTAGCACCGTTTGAAGCTCTTACTATCACTAGGCAGAAATATCTCAAGAGGATGTTCCAAGTGAAAACAGTTGTTTTAGCTGGGATTATGTGCTAATTCTCATATGATTACATTTTCCTGCATATATAATGTAAGAGATTTCCAAAGAGTTCTGACAATCAACAGTATTTGAAGATTGTGGGCACTGCAGAAATGATTGAACTTGGGGTGTAAAAAGCAAGTAAAACCCAACTGAAAAATATTAACATTATGAAGATTATGCTGTTAGATCCATAACTACCACCAATCTTGGAGGTGCTGAAAGATAAAATAGGAATTCAAATCACATCTGGAAAATTTATGTAAAGATAGGATGTGATCCAAAATGGATAAGTGCCAGATCTTAGATCTGAGCAGGAACAACCAACTGGTTCAAAGAATCTATTAAGTAGACAGATCCATAATGACAGAGTTGGATTTCTTCTCTTTGCCAAAAAGACACCACCTACTGTGAGTTTTCAGAAACACTGCATTCAAGTATTTTTGTGCCCCAAACAACCAATTTGTTTTAACTTATACACTGAGCTGTTATAAAGACTATAATTTCCTCTAACATTATGATTCTTCAGCCTTTTTACTTTATTATTTGCTAAAATACACCATCATTAAGTTGAAAGGTTTCAATATTCAACTATTGTATCAAAGTGTCTCTTATAACCCAAGCTCATTTCTCTTTTTAAGAAACTTCATAGAAAACTTTAAAAAATAGAACCTCAATTTTATGATATACAACATAACGCCTCATTTAGTATGAGGATCAAATTACAAAATGGTTGTAAGACATCTGTTTCAGACACTGAAAACTGCTATGATTATCAACTGTATGCTCTCCTGTTAGATCATTGTGTTTTTATGCAACACTGGTGATTTCAAGAAAGCAGGACAAACTGGAAAAAGCTTGCATTCCATGTAATTTTTGCCAGCAGAATGTTTACCAAAGTAGGACCAAAAATATTGTTCACTACTAATGAGCATTCCCACCACAAAGCAAAGCAGCAGACACAGTTCCTGTGTGTCCTGTACTACTGCACAGATGGAGGCTGTGTGTAAGCTGAGCTCACTCATAAAAATAGCTAATAGTTTCATTCCCAAAGCTACAAATTTGAGAATTGGCAAGCCATGGATAATTTTACCACAGTGTGATCCAGATACAGTCTGAGCAGAAGTAGCAACATCAGAAACAATTGGTACCTGATCTGTCACTATCCTTGTTGCTGCTGCAACAGCAATAACAGATTTGAAGGAAGCTGAAAGAAGACACGGACTGTACTTTGCTCTTCCCAGCACTGACTCACTACATCCCACGTAATATTACAGTACCTGCCACAAATATAAGCCTGCTCAATTACTTTCTATAAAAGGGTGTCACCTTCTGCTGAAATTTGCCTTTTAAGATAAAATTCATGCGAAATTCTGTTTAATAATTCATACAGATGTTATTAAATTCTGCAAAATACTCAATATATGTCCTAAAAGGTATAAATTACGCAGACTGTGTTTTATGTTCCTCCTTTTCAGGTCTGAAAACTACAGACAGGATGTTCCAAATATTAAGGCTGTTGTTCCTAAATGCATTAAATCAGTTTGCATTTAGCCTTTGGTATTGGCAGGGGTGGACACAAAATTTCATTCAAAGCTGCAGCTTCGCTGACTCACTGTGCTACACCAATTACATAATCTTGTAAATTTGGCAAAGTTTAACAGAATCTAAAGCACAAGACTCAAACCCTACATTAACGTGGATGACCTTTGGAGAAAAGTCAGTACCAGACAATAGTACCTGCGTTCCGCACGTTCCTTCTTTTTTAAGACAACATCCAGATCTTGTAATTGTTCTTCTAATTTCTCACAGAGTAATTTCTAAAGGAAGCAAACACAGTGTTAGTTTCTTTCATAATGAACTATTTTGACATTGAAATAATGTTCAGACACTTCATTCACTATGTATTTGTCTGGAAGAAGTGTGAGCGCCTCACTACACTGGAGGCTCCTCTTCAGTGAACAAGGTTTTACAATAGAGAGTGTCTTCCTAAAACACATGTGCTTCACCATCAAGGCCAGGATGGATGGGGTTTGGAGCAACTGTGTCTAATGGAAGGTGTACTGGTCACTGATCCATCCCTCACTGCCTACTGCTTCCGCCTCCAGGATGAAAACGTTTCTTTTGGGAAAAATTAAGACATTCTATCTATACTAGTCTTGAGATGATTTAACCACAGATGGAGATAATTGGTGTGGCTGAAGATACCCATCTACAAGTCAGCAACACAAACTAGCAGAAAAGAGAAAACCAGGTCACAAAACTCAGTTTTACTAATGGACAGGAGGGAAGATCAGCAATCCTACAACTCATCCCAGTCCATCTGTTAACAGGAAAAAAAGATCATAGAAAGGACTTGTTAAGAGTCCAAGCAAATCTCCACAACCACAAGCAAAGTTGTAAAGGAGAAGAGTGAAGTCACACAGGAACCTTACATGCTGGCACGGTGGGCAGAACCACTCTCCATCAGGGATTATCATCAGTGGAGGGCGAAGGCAGGCTGTGTGGTATCCACTGTCACAAGAGTCACACAACAAAATCTGTGGAAATACATCGTTAAGTATCTTTTGGCACTCACAACAAGTAACAAGCTCCAGAACTATTTCCCCAGCCAACACAGAAGTGCTTTATACTTTGGAGTGTGCCAAAACAAAAAAAAAACAAACCCCTGTAGTGCATTTCCAGGGCCAAGAGTGATTTTTATGGGGAAGTTTATGTATCACGATTTTTCTTTTTAACACCAGATTTCCTCTTACTATGCCTTCTCAGTACTTAATACTACTGGACTACATAGACTGTGTGCCCTTAGTGTAGAATCTGGTAACACTTTCCAGATCCTAGACTAAGTGAAAAACTCCATCTGAACAAGATGGGGTATGAACAGTTTTCCTTGTGCACTGATATCCTCGTGCAGGAAACCTGGCCTTTTTCCTCAGTCAGGATGATTTTATGACCCGGACAGTAGGGACAAAGCCTTACAGGCTCTTAGGGGCATCCAGAACTAGGCAACTATTAGAGTTCATACTTAGTTGGGTAAAATTTGAGATATCCCTTTCCATAAAACTGAGGAACAAAGCTGGCATAAGCTGTGTGTGTATTTACTGAAATATTTATCTCTAACATTCTAAAGGTCAAACTTTGCCTCAGCTATGTCAGGATATCTGTCACACACCCTAGAGTGGGCTTACTTTGTGGATTCATATCAGGACTGCACATGATGGTTTCCCAGATAAACAGGAATCCATAATATCTACCACAGATGAACAGGAACCATAACCATGAGAAATAGTAAAAGCTCACTGTGCTCTTTCTGTCTGGGATTTTGCTGTACTCAGTCCTCAGGGTGATGTGCAGCTACATCCAATGAGGATGACCATAGCTGTGGCCATGTCATGTGACACTGGAAAGCAGACATGACACTGTTGGGGTTCTTATTAATGCTGTCTCCTCTGTATTTATTGCAATTGCAGGCACAACCTAAAGCCTCACCCAGATTAATTCTCAATGGGCTAAACTGTGTTAATACCTCATAAAAGATGATATTTTTGTGGTGGAAAACAGAAAAAATAACTTCCTTCCCTCCTTATCAAAGGTAACTCACCCACTTTTGTGTTTACCAGCTAAAACCTAGAAAGTACTCTCCTACATACAGCCATCCCAAAGGCTGATGTGCCCTCAGACACCACCAAAGCCAATCCACCAAGTCTGACACAACAGCCCACAGAAGCTTTCCCCAAAAACTTACCAGCTCAGGGTGATTGGGAAGGCCACACTTCTTGCACGGCTCATCGTCATCAGCAGGTGCAACTTCTTCTTCCTCCTCTTCTTCCTCTTCTTCCTCCTCATCGGAGTTTTTTTCGCTCTCTGAGTCCTCACTTTCTTCATTACTTGAGTATTTCCACCTGCCACGTGTTCGTGTACCGGTCCACCGAACTTTGCTTTTCTGTAAGAGACACCATTCCAAAGAAAAAACAGGAAAGAAGCTCAGAAGAGTTTCTTCCCAGATCTTAAAAAATATTTGTCTCTAAAGTGACTCATTTCAGTCAGAACAGCTGCAGTAAATTTACAGCAGAGCATTTCAATGAATAGATTCTCTTTCCAAGATCCTTAAAATGCAACAGGATAAAGGGAGAAAAAAATTGCATCTGTGTACACAAAGAAATTTTCAAGTGAGATTTAAAAGATGGAAGACAATTTTTTTCACTCAGCCCATTTTTATCTATTTTGACAAGGTAAACTCGGTAGTGAACATGGTAAATTCCACATTTAAACTTTCTGACTTTTTGATGATAGCTTGCCTCTACTCAAAGAGGATCTTTTTTCTGTCCCACTGTCCCCTCATATAGTTTAAGCCTTTTATATTATTTATTTCAGAAAACATGTTTGTTTCTGAAATAAAATCACTGCATCTTTTAAGCACATAACTTATATCTAGGTCTTCTTTCACATTTATAGTTTTCAATTATTTTTCTTAAGTGAAAAGTGATTTAGTTGATACTTCTTTTTTGATAATCAAAGCAGCCTCTACCCCCTTTCTATCATATTTACTACCATATTTTGGATGAAAAACAGGTTCCAAATAAAACTCAGAAGCCTATTTTGAATTACTTAAAAATACTTTGTGCAACTAAGGTATTTTAGATTTAAAGCAACATGCCAAACAGAGGAAACTTTTATTCCTGTTGACTGACTTGTTTCTTACAGCCATCATTCTCTCACAATTCTTCCCTCCTCAAAGATACTGAAAAAAGAAAATAACTTTTCCAGCTTTTTCAACTCAAAGCATTTTTTCAATTTTGACTTAACTACTCATAGATTCGAATGAGCTGAATAAACTAAAATGTACAAAATATTCTATTTCCCTTGCAGAATTAACTTGTACCACAGCAGTACTTGTCATATTGGTAAAATTTTGTTTCAGGTTCTTAACATTAATTTCCACCTCTTTAAGAGATTTTACTGTTCCATAAGCTTCAGTAGCAAAGGTATTTAAAATCCATTATAATATTAGATAAGGTTTTGGCTTCATCATACATCATCTAATTTCAAATCTGTTTTTTAGAGACCCTTCTTTAAAAAGAAAAGTAACCCAATGACATAAAATAGGCTATTAAAGAATTTCATATTTTTTTATCTTGATCAAATAACATCTTAACAGCTTCAAACTTCTTCCTCTATCATAATTATTTTAGAACTTCTGTAGAAAAGCAAGCATCTTCTGATCTCTTCATCTTTCAAAACAGAGATCAAGTTAAAACACCTGTAGCAACAGTACTTCAAAATTCTAACCACTTACAGGACTTACAATCATTGGTATTTTTGTTTATTTTCTTTTTTTAATTAAAATATTTAAATGGAAAATTTATTATGACAGATTTTTTTCAGTATAGATGCTACCATTCATTGAGGAAAATCAACTGTTTGTTCCATTTATGAAGGTTATTCATTGAAAAATCAACTGTATGTTCCGTTTATGAAGGTTATTCAACATAGCAATATGTGAAAGAAACTTGCTAAATGAGTGAATGTTTTGGTAAAACTACAAAATCAGTCAAAAATGTGCTGCAGTGGAAAAACTGACAAGTTGATATAAAAAGAGAGCACTTTAAAAATACAAACTCATTATTCCTTGTTTCCCTTTTGTACTCCATATCCGGAAAAAAACAGAAAATAAATTAATAAAAGGTGTTTATAAATACACAGACTCAGAAGCACACTATACAAATGTATGTTTAACTTTCTGTGATGTTGTCATGGTTTGAGATGGCCCCCCTGGGAGTCGGGGGGCTCAGAGGTGACTGGGTGCCAGGGCAGTGTTCCCTGGAGAGCCGATCACCACTCGTCTTTGTTCACTTCTGCTCAAAAATCATATATACACAGCACTGGAAGCTGTTGGCAGTATCTCTCTGTTGGTGTCTGCTGCGTGTAGGTGTAGAAGGCCAGGGGGTGGCTGGGCTCCTTCTTCCCCACTCCGGGGGGGAGAGGGGAGCCCTGTGGCCCCCCCAACTCTGCCTAGGTCAGAGTTAGAGACAGCATTGGAGTGAGTGAGTGTTTGTGAGGGACATGACTCACAAAACAACTGGTAAGCGAGGAGAGAGAGGCAGGCCTTGCGGCCAGGCCCTCTTCTTCCCCCCTTTTGCAGCCAAGCTGCAGAAGCGGGCTGTTTTTCCCTCTGGCTGTTTAAGTGGGAGTGGATGCAAGGCTTAGTATTGAAGCTGAGCCAAGAGACGGCTGGAGGAGGCTCGATTACCAGGGGGAAGAATCCCAGGTAACAAACTGGAGATGGGCCAAGGGCTCAGGAGTTGCCCTACTGGGGGCAGCCGAAAACTGACTTGGAAGAATGAAGATTCCAATGCCTACCGTGATAAGCTACAGCAGCAGCGAACCGAGGTATGAGACTGAGAGAGAGAGAGAATGACACAGCAGAGACTGACATGGGACCGAGGAGAAAGGACTCAGAACTACCTTCTTGGACTTTGTGAGGAGAAAAGACTGCAGCAAACAGCTGAAGGTTGGTGAGGGAGTGTTCAGGGGGCCCTGAACACTCCCACGAGAGAGAGAGAGACTGTGTTACATTATCAGCCTTGAAAGGCTTCTCCTGGACTAAAGTTAAAGGGAGGGGCTTAAAAGGACTGATAGAAGTGTAATAATATATATATATAGTTGCCTTTAGTTTGTATAGTATTTATTTGTGTAAATAAATGTATATACTTCGCCCTTCCCCTATGGAAGCCTCTGGCCTAAAAGTTTTCTCTTTGGTGTTAGGATAAATTGTGGGAAGGGGTGGGGAAGCCTGGAAATTGGATTTTGGATTTTCTAATGTGGCTCAAACTGCCACAGATATATTTCCCTGATGTACTTTTAAAGATCTATGCTGCATAAACAAAAGTCAATCATGAAAAAAATACCTCCACCCAAATTAAAATGGGTATTCCACATGAGAAAAGCTAAATTATATCAGGAACTCACCACAACAATAACTTTGGTTTCACCTAGAAAGAGAAGTGATAATATTTTTATTCTTTACCATTTGTTGGTTCCTTTTTAGCTTATGATCATCCTGACCAACCAGACACCAACAAGTATCCATCTAGTAAATCCACAGGAGCTACAAGTCTCCATTCAGCCACTCAGCCAGACAGACTCATGTCTGATCATGTCAGCTTTTAGAATTCTCTCCAGTTGATTTGGTCTACTTAGGTTGGTTCAAGTGACAGATTTTACAAACTGGTAAGTCAACAGATATTAGCACTCTCTTACAGGGTGTTGCAAAATTGGTTGAGTCCACTAACTGAATTGCAAAGCTAGTTTCTTGCAAAAACTGACAAAAGGAACATATTCTTCAATATTCCTATGTAAGTGTACATCCTTATAGATAAGGCTGCCGGTATTCTCTACTCCCAGGTAATAAAACTGTATTACCTTGTTAACCTTAGAATTTGTCTCCTTCTCTTGTTTTTTTGCATCTTCTTTTCGTTCTGCTTTTTGTGCTGCTGTAGGTTTCTCCTCTTCCTCTTCAGTTCGCTTCTTCTCAGTCTTCTGATCCCGAGTCTCCGCAACTTTTGGAGTAGGCTTGGATATTCTTGGAGAGCGCCTTAATGTGCGGCCAATGCTGACCTCTTCTGGCGGTGTTTCTGTCTTTTTCTTCCGACTAGAGATCCTGATTGTTAATTTAATTCCTTCTTTCTGTCTTTCAGAAGTTATTTCCTTGTTCTCTGTTGCACAGCTTTCTTCTTCAGAAACTAGCTTATATTTAAATTTGCTTCTAGGTAGTGGAGATTCCTTTTTGCTCTCTGAGGAGTCCTCTAGATTAGATGCATGAGCATCACCTAATCCATCTGGCTCTGTTTTGGCGGTATTTGGCTCTTCCTCTTGTTTTTCAAGGCTGGATTTTTCTTCTACTTTGCTCTCCTCAGGTAGAGCCATTTTACTATCAGAGTCCTCCTTTTCCAAAACAGGTTTCTCCACAGTAACAGGAGAAGCAGATGCAGGAGGTACCTCAGCAGCTTTTGGAGAATCAGTTTTCTCCTCAGACTCACCTTTACTTTCCAAAGTCTCTTCATCAGCCAGTGCAAGCGTGGGTAGTTCTTCAGGAGCAGATGCACTTGGGGGTGTCTCCAGCTTCTCTGAACATTCTTTGGGAGGCAGTGGGCTGTCCTCCTTGATATTGGTTGCTGGTTTCTCTTCAGTTGTTTTGGCACAGTCTTCAGAGTTCGAAGACTCTTCTGCTACTGTTTCAGTAGTTGCGCTGTCAAGGGACTCTTTTTCCACAGGACTAGATTCCTCCTTTGAAGGCACTTTCTGATTAGAAACGTCAGAGACCACAGCCCCAATCTCTTTCAGCACACTTACAGAATTTTTCTCAATCTCACACGTTTTTATAGAGTTTAGGGAGTCTGATAGGTTTTCCCCACTTTTTCCATTTTTCTCTTTCAGTGAGCTGCTGTCTTCTTTTGCACCAGCAGAGTGTTCTGACTTATTGTTTTGTATGACACTCGGGGTTATTTTTTCACAGCTAACCTCTCCATTTACTAGTACTTTCCCGTCAGGACACAAAGCAGTAATTGTAGGGACTCTCTTAAAAGCTTCTTCTTCTGGTTTCCCTTCTTCCTTCAAGACATCCTTTGTTGGAGTAACACATTTACACAGGGGCCCCTTTATTGGACTGTCATAGTCATCCGTCAGCTTGATCTCTCGCTTTTTAAGTGGTATTTTTGCCTGCTGGTCATTTTTAAGTTTTTCGCTTTCTTCCACAGACTTCTCCACAATTTCTTGGGGAGTTTTGACATTAACACAAAATTCTAGCCTCTCTGGCTCATGAACTGCTATTTTGTCCGAACAGCTTTTTACTTCTTTTAGGTCTTTGGGTTCTGTTTTGTTTTCCTTTACCTCTACTTTAACAGGTTTGACATTTTCTTTAAAGGAGTCACTTTCTTCTTTGACAGTTTGCTTTTCTTCATTGTGTTCTGAAGGTTTCTCTAATTTTACTATTACTGGCAATTTTATAATTTCTTTTTCTTCCACTTTCTCAATTTTCAGCATATTTTCATCTTCTTTGACCACAGGAGGAGGAAGGCTTTCTGATTCCACTGACTGTTCCTCCACCTGCTCTTTTTCTTCTTTGATTTTTAACTGATTTTCTGTTGACAGAGAAAAATAGCTATGAAACAACCAGGGGACCTCCAGGATTACAAAGAACATCATCAAAACAAAAGCATATCTAAAAAAACCAACAGCCCTAAGTCTCACACAAAGGAATCTTCTCTTGTTCAATTACTCGAAATCTCACTTGTCTAAAACTGTCATTAAATGAGTGGGCTGACAATTTTTAGCTGTAGAATCACTGTTCAGTTTAATTATATACCGAGATAAACCTAAATTTCAGAAGCCAGCAGCAGAACTCTAGATTTATGCTTCTTTCAACAGACATCCCAGCCCCCTCTTCAGTAGTACCACAATACTTTCAGAGGATAAATAAAACCTAAGCAGAGACCTGAAGTCTCGAGTTTCTGGACTATTTCAGAAAACAGAACACAGTGTAGGATTCCGAGGCCTTCAAGTGAAATTCCTCAGAGAAGTCAGTCTCCTGTTTGTACGTGTTTTTCTTTCAAGATATTCTTAACTATCGTACTTCAACAGTTTGGAGAAAAGACATTCAGCATTATGGCTTATGGCAAAATTCATCCAGGTTCTTGGGCAATGACTACATCTCCTACATACAGACAATATTCTACACCCACTTCATCTACTCTTTTTAAAACAAGCAGTGAATAGAAGCATATCCCAGAAACACCTGCAGAGATTAAACAATCAGGTTATTCCACTTTGCTAACTCAGATTATTAGGGCCTGAAGTACAGCTCCAGCAGTCAGAATAAACCATAGAGCTATTCTGTAATTATATGCTTAAGCTCATTATTTGTCATTACCACAACCTCTTGATACCTAAGAATTTTTTATCTGATTTGTGTCAGCCAGCAATAGAACTAATTAGAAAAAGCAAATACAGTATCACTATATATACCAGAGTAGCAGCTCCTACCACCTAAAAGATGCTTTTGCGAGTGTGCCATAACTGCGAACAAAAAGATTATTTTTTTCCTTCTACCTTGCCCCTCTCAATCCCAGCTAGTGTAGTTTTTTCCATGATGAGAGCTTTCCAAAATAGTTAGAAATATACAGGGGACAGTACATGACAGTTAAAAATTACATCAAAGAAAAAAGCATTCTAGAAAAGAGCAGTGAGGAAGAATTCACAGATTTTATAATATTTTCAAATACAATGCATGTACCCATATAAATCTCAGCATTAGTACAGCAGTGAAAGATGCATCTATGAGGCACCAGAAATGGTAACATTTTGAAGGCTCAAGACTGGTTTTTTCCCCTTCATAGAAGTGATCCCCACTCAGAGCCCTTGTAAAAAAAGAAAAAGCCGCCTCTGTAAAGAACTTTAACAGTGAAAATGAGATATTTTTTTCTATGTCTGAATTCTTTCAGCTTCCCTACACTTCTGTCTAAACTTTGTCCAACCATTTCTTCCCTTAACCTACTGCTTCCTCCCAAATTTCATTAAGGATCACCAAAATCCCAAAACTTCTCCAGACTGAAAACCAGCAGATGTTCTACAGGTAAACTCCGTGAACTTCTCATAAAGCATTTCATATATATACAAAATTACTCAGTCAAAGCACAAGTTTTCTTAATGCTATTTGAGTCAATCAATTAGGCCAGCAGAAAACATGTAAGCACTGGGTCAGTTTACCATATTTTTGTATGAACTAATTTAATGCTGCATGGAAAGTGGCCAAAGCAAACAAGTACATATTGCAAACAGTAACATATTCTGATATGTTTTCACTGCACTTTAGAAGGGTTTTGAGTGCAATCCTTGGACTACAAGGAAGAAAAACTACAGCTTCTCAACTGAAAGACTTTAAGTAGTGCTCTGTGAATACACTGACAGCACTTCAATCACTGCAAATGTAAATAATTTCATTATTCACTACATATATGAGACAGAGACCTGCTGGAGTGAGTCCAGTGGAGATCACAAAGATGCTCAGAGGGCTGGAGCACCTCTGCTATGGAGACAGGCTGAGAGAGTTGGGCTTGTACAGACTGCAGAAGAGAAGGCTCTGTGGAGACCTCAGAGCCCCTTCCAGTACCTAAAGCGGCTACAAGAGAGCTGGAATTTTGACAAGTGCCTGAAGTGACAGGACAAGGGGGAATGGTTTTACACTTAGAGAGGGCAGGTTTAGATTAGATATTAGGAAGAAGTTTTTTACAATTAGGTAGGTGAAACACCGGTAGAGGTTCCCCAGAGAGGTGGTGGTTGTCCCATCCCTGGAAACATTCAAGGTCAGCCTGGACGGGGTTCTGAGCAACTCTCATACAGTTTAAGACATCTCTGCTCATTGCAGGGAGGTTTGACTAAATGGCCTTTAAAGGTCCCCTCCATTCCAAACTATTCTGTGGTTCTGCAACTGGTGCTTAGGGGTGATTTTGAACCAATACACAGCCTAATGCAAGCACTGAGCCAGGTGAGTGTGCCACAGGATTTGGGGAATTATCTACAAGGTGGACATTCATTGAAATGTTTTCAAATGACTGCTCCTGAATTCAAGGTAAAGTAAAATCGTATCTGAAGAAGAGATGTCAATTAGATGATCTGGCTTGATTGAGACAAAGGTAAAATCAATACATGGAATTAATTCTGCAGTGTCAGTAACCATGCAGGTTGTGCTGGCACTTACATGCGGAATTAGATATTAGCAATGTCTAGGACTGAGAGACTATTCTGCTGGTGATTGTCACAATTTACTGCCATTTCTACAATCTTCTTTTAATACTTCCACAACTCCAAATTTATCTAAATGTTTCATTTATTTTTTCTGTTCTAAACTGTTTGTTGCACAAAGAATGCGAATAAAATGCCAGGTCTTTCTCTTTGGTATTCAGAATCAAGACAGGTCCCAACTAATTCCATATACCCAATTAACTCATACACATTTAAAAAAAACACCTACAAACACTCTGTAATATTTAAATCTTGTTTCTGATTGTGAAAATATTTTCCTGTATTTTAAAAAAATAATAATACAAGGTAGTAAAACTGGTGTAGAATTACTTGGGATAATAAGATTTTAGCTTTTTTCATGACCTGAAAAAAGATCAGATTCTTATAACATAAAATACTTCAAGCTAACTGATACTTAGTAAAACCAATGCACAAACCAACAAGTCAGCAAGTTAGTAGATTATGTGCAATGACATGATAATAAAGAAAGAAAAAAGTTCTTTGCTTTGATCTTAGAGATCTTTTCCAACCTAAATGATTCTATGATTCTAATAACAACAATACAGTGGAGATAGGTAAGGACAGCTTCACTTCTACAGTATTTTAGTATTTTTAATTGTTTTAACTTAATCTCATGTCTTCTTGAAAAATCATGTTGATTGTGAAACATTTGAGGAAATAACCTATATTTGTCTGATTCAAACTCAAAAGCAAGAATAAACACCACACCCAATACTATATTGATTTCAATCATGGCATTGCACGAGCAGATTTTTTTCTTTTTCAAATTTTAATGTTGCTAGAACAAGAAAAGTTCAATGCCCCACAAAAACATACAATGATGAGTATTTACAATATTATACAAAGGGTACAGCAAAAATAAAAAAGAATTACCTAGGAAACAATTTGTACATAGCTCTCTTCTTATAAATAAATTCTTGAGCTTAAATATGTGCTAAAAAACTCAAAAAATATTTATAATTTCAAAGGATTCAATATTTACTTGATTTACTTTGAACAGAAACATTTTTTCTCTTTTTTAAAAAGTCCTAATCTAACACAGTAACTTTTCATGAGGCTGAAAAGTCTAACATTGCCACACCACAACATTTAAAATTTGAGATAAGAAGGCAGAAAACCTTGTGTAGCTGCTTCTTCACCCTTTTTGGCATCTTCATCTTCTATGCTTGGACTTTCACGTGATGAGTTCTCCTGCTGAGAATTGTTATTTTTCAACAGGGCAGGATCAATTTGTGCTTTCAAGAGCTCAAGGGTCTCGGCAAGCTCATTGCGGTTTCTAGAAGTGAAAAACATACAGTCTGATAAGCCACTTACTTACCCCAAAAGGATTCATGAAAAATAAACAAACATTATCTCATTAAATGAACATTACCCTGAAAACCTTGTAGAGTTATATAATGAAAACACAAGCACAGTGAAATGCTTGTCCAACCTGAATGGCTAGAACTTTGCAGTCAGAAGCCTTCACATTTATCCACACCAAAATAAAATTATGTTTTTGGAAGGACCTTATCTACCTATCTATCTTAACTCAATTTCTGTTGGGTCTGGATCCAAGCTGCTACTATTATTCTCGTATTCATTATCCTACTGCCAATCCTCACTGATTTTACTTTGCTATTTCTTTTTTCTCTCAACAGAGAAGTTATAGCTTTCTGCTCATGCACCAAAGAAGCAACCACACCATTTAAGCGAAATTTTCGAAAGCAACTAGCAAAACAATTTAGATACTTTTTGCAAGTGTGCATCCTAAGAACACGTAGCAAGCACCACCAAGTTGTCTAGAAAACTCCAGCTATTGGAGTTATGACAGCAAGAAAACGTTGGTGCACATCTGTATAAACATGAATCTCAGTTCACTGTAACTCCTTGTTTAAACTGCATATCTAACTGTTAAAAACCCTTTATCTATAAAGAATTTGAGCCATGACTGAACAGAGTCATTGTTTTCATAATGGACTACAATAATAAGGTTCTCACATTTCTTTTTCAAAGCCAATGTTCAGTAATTTGTTGTCTCCAGATTTAGAGAAAGAAAGGAGGCTTGCAACAACCCTGAGATGTGGAATCTCACGTTTTAAAACCATTTCAGATTTCTCAGTGCATTACTGTGGCTTTCTGCTGTGAGTGTGGAGTAGAACCCTGATTTCTTCCACTTTTGGCAATGATCTTTGGAGTCTATAAAGCACAAAAGAGATAAACACCGCTCAGCTCTCGATCTGTTTGCTTACATACATTTACTTTATTCACCCACAGCAGCTGTCTAGATGTAACCAGAAGTAATGCTAGTAAGTTTAAACTAAAGTTATGGCAGTAAATAACCTGCAGATGGTTTGAGTTGGAATGGACTTTCAAAGACCATCGAGTTCCAACTCCCCTGCCATGGGCAGGGACATCTTCCACTAGACCAGGTTGTTCAAAGCCCCAGCTAACCTGGCCTTGAACACTTCCTGGGGTCAGGTAGCTACAAGTTCTCTGGGCAGCCTGTGTCAGTGCCTCACCACCCTCACAGTAAAGGATTTCTTCCTAATATCAAGTCTAAACCTGCCCTCTGTGAGTTTGAAGCCATTACCCCTTGTCTTACCAGTACACAACTCTGTAAAAACTTCTTCTCTGACTTTCTTGAGCGCCTTTGTGTTCTGGAAGGGGCTCTGCGGTCTCCCTGGATCCTTCTCTTCTCCAGGTTGGACAACCCCAACTGCCTCAGCCTGTCTTCATAGGAGAGGCTCCAGTTCTCTGACCATCTCATTGATCTACTCTAAATTCCCTCCAACAGGAGCAATTGCAATATAATTCCCCCAAAACCAAATCTGTCCACTTGCTACTTTCTGAATAAAATTGAAGTTAAAGAAGCAAGAGTATTCTATTTTCTAAGACATTTAGCTGGTCAGTATGGAGCCGTCATTCTTAAGAGTGTCCTCTTGGTACCCTTTCTATATATTCATTGTAGCTCAATTAAGCGGGAAAAAAATTATATGATAGCTGTTACCAACAAATCAGCAAGTTATTTCTCTATATGATTTTTCACTAGAACACAGATGTGAAGGCAGAAAATCCCACTGTTAGGAGTTCTACTCTGTGAGAAACAAAGAGTTACTGAAACATATTTCTGAGTCCCAGCCACAAATAGTTAAAAATCCTACAAAAAAAGGAAAAAAAAAAAAAAGGAATACCTAACAATGCACTTCCATGTGGATCCATCCTGGTCATCCTGTTCTTCTATGTACATCCTGACATTATGTTCTTGATCCAGTTGATACCAGTACATCAGGCCATCCTTGTCCCGACCAATGGGCTGCAGACGCATGGCATCAGCATCCTCCTCGTTAATGATATTCTTAAACTTGAGATTGTCATCAAACTGACATTCACAGAGATACTGAAAAAGTGAGAAAGTAGAAAGACTGTTAAAATATCGAAAATATAAAGACAAAGAAGAAAATCAGTTCACTTCCTTTCAGTGTAATTTGGAACTTCTTTTTAGGCCTCTCCCTGTTGGATCTGTGTGTCAGTTGTAGCTATCAGTTTTTTCCAGACCATGTTGTTTTTAAATATGAGTGACAAGGTTTGTTTTGTTTTTTCTGGTCAGCTTAGAAAGCTTATTCTAAATTTTATTACATAGTACAAGCTCTCATTCTACACTAAAAGTCATACATAAGTTGGAACCAACCCTGACAGTTTTCTCAAGACTTGAAAAGATTAAGTCCTATCTTTGCCTTTGGAATTCAGAGAGATAACATACATTTTTAGAAGTGTAGATTGCAAAGACAAATAGCTGTTGAAAAAACAGTAAGCACAAAACTACTGTCATACAAAGTGTGAAAAATATGCAAACAAAGTGTTACATGCTGTTTGGGCCTATCCCACAGTAATGAATATGATGTCTGTTCCAAGATCAGCTCTCTATTTAATATATGCACTTATGGTTCCATCAAGCTGAATTTGCAAGACATTTGAGTGAGGAAGCTAAATCTCCAAGATACTTGAGTGAGTGAGAAAAAAGTAATTTAGAATCTTAGTTGATGAATGTGTACCTTCAGAATTCCCAGTTTGCACTCAACACTCATTTCTAGGTATCCTTTTTTTTCCATCTCCCAAGCCCAAGTGCTGTTGAATTCTTGGCATATCTGTCACAAACAAAATAAGCAGATTTCCAGGGTTAGGAGATAAAAGCAACTTTAAACTTTTTTATTAATAGTACTTTACTGTGGTAACTCATTATACATAATCTCCTTGGGATTGCAGTCAGAAAGCCTCACACAAAAAATAAAACTGAGGTAGGTTAGAAAGCACTGGTGCACTTCCATGGAAGAGCAGATCATCAAGGCCCTGATCACCACCACATTCTCCAAACACCCTAAATTAGATAGCATATCTCTGGATTGGGAAGGTATTCTTGTCTTTGCTGTGCAAAATATCTCACATTTTGCTATTTCTGTCTGTTTAGAATATAAATTCTCTGAAGTAGACAGCATTTCTTATTACATCTCCTTACAGCACTTAGCACATAAGCTGCCAGGGTCTCTTGGGGTCCCCTAAGTCCTTCAACTGTACTGCAGATAACAAATGCAACTGCTACTCACTCCACGTGGTGGAATTATTGTTCTTCAGAAAATACCTTGGGCTTTAAGGAGTTTGATAGATATTTTAAAATATTTTAAGTATAGCCAATTTCAATTTACTTAAAGCAAATAAATTCAACCACACCAATATGGGGGGAAAAAACTAACACAAAAAGAAGTGGCCATAGAGGATAAATAGATTGAATCAGCATGAACTCCAATAATAAAGGTGGAGAAGGAATTCCCTCTCCTCCTAAACAACTCAGACAAGCTTAAGACAGCTCTCATGATCAGAGACAAGCTACTCATCAGCTGAGGACACGTGGCAGGATCTCCAGTTGGTGAGGCTATTCCAGTGGAAATATCCACGAGGAGGTGAAAGCTGATCACAGCTACACTACCAGCTGAGATTATTTTGAAGTGTCATTGCTGAATCATGATTGTCCAAACCAACACATGAGGTGCTGCTGCCCTTCAGTCTGCAAGGAGGGACTCAATCAAAACAGCATAGTCTCCCAATCACCAAATTATTATTAAAAACAAGATACAGTCACCAAGCTACTTAGAAACCTGTCAATCACATCTGAAAGCAGCATCTGGAAATCACATCTGGAAACAGCAGCAAAAATAACCCTACATTTTACCCACCAGAAACACAGATCAGCAGATCTACCTGGACTCCAACCAAGAAAAGGGGCTGCTACCCCTCCACTATCGCCTGGGCCACATTACTGACCCTCCACAATCCCTAGTACTAACACCAGTTCTTAAGTGGCCCAAGGGTAAGACTGCAGTTAGATCACCTCAGCCACCACAAATCATACTGTGACTTTAAACTACAACCTACAGAGAACACCAAAGAGCACTCTGGTCACAAGGGATCCTGCTGAAGAGCAGATTTTCTTGCTCTGAGGTTAAGGAATGCTACACAGGGACTTCTCTGATGCAAAGCCAAAGCTCACAGCAGGAGACAAACGCTGCCCACTCACAGAATGAGGTTACTCTACTTTTCTCTCATATTCAACTACGTAATGTGAAGAACACTGGGAAACTATACATCAAAACCCTTGCTCAAGGCATATGCCAGTTGCCATTCATTACTTACTCATTAAATATGAAAGCAATAACGAGAAGCTTCATGTGCTGTGGAAGTGTGTGACTGTCAAAGCAAGAGCTACGAGACATCAGAGCTGAGGAAGTATCTGTTCAAACTGAAATGACTACATTTTGACAATTAAAACCCAGATAATTGTGCTTTCTCTTGACAAGTACTGTCACAACCCTGAACTACACATCTCATTGATTTAGGCTCTGCTGAAATCTTGTCTTTGCCTTCACTGAGGGTATGTTTCACACTGATCAAAAACCTGCTGCTTGCAGGAGCAGCTGGTTTCTGCAGGCTAAAGGGTGGTCAGCACCTTCCCACCCTGAAAGAGATGCTGGAACAGCTCACTCTCTCAAATATTTCCAAAGAAGCTAGATGGCACCCGACACTTACTATTGGCATGTTCGAAATGTTCACTTTAAACAACAAAAACAGGAAGGTGAAAGACATAGCAGAGGAGCCTGTTTGGGTGGGACTACAGATGCCTGAATTCTAATAATTGGAAAAGACAAGTGTATCCAGAACATGCTGATTTTGGATTGAAGGTTCCAAATGGACCAGTCCAGAGAAATCTTATCTGTATAAAAATGCAAAATATGTTTGACAATAGTCAAATAGAACATTTTGTCAGGAGACAATTCAATGTGACTTAACTACTTGTTTCTCAAAGAATAGCTAAGATAGACAGTTCCTTGTAGTTTTTGGAACGTTTAGGACAAGCCATTTCTTTATGTTGGTCATACATGACCACATACATTCCCTATATAGAGGAGAAAAGTCAGATTCCTGGAGCCCTACAGCCATTTTCTGCCAGAAAAAGACTAGTGAGCATGCTGGTGACTTGGGTGGTTCACCTCCAGAAGAGGGAAGGGAAAGAACTCTCAACTATCATGTTCACTTCCTATCCCAAAATACATTAATCTGTCAAAATACCAGCCATATCTTAGAGACAATTTTTATCATACTCTTTATAAGCACAACAGTCAAATGAAATACATTTTATAAATAGTTGGTATATAAACAAAACATAGTAATACCTACATATTCTTAATATTTGTGCATGTAAGTCCTCCACAAAAAGTTTCTGCCTAAGTAAGAACATGGTCACATCTAGAAAATGTCAAACCCTGTTTTAGTAAAGAAACACATTAGTAGTTTCCAACAAAGGGAAAACAGGTCAAGTTTGCCTCTTAGAGTGTATCAATAATATGTGGAACAATACTGCTGGTATCAGGGAAGAATGCTCTCAGTGGTCTCACATCTTTTCAGTTTTTCCTGGCTTTTGTGACATTTCCCAATGCTCTTAACTTGTTTTTCTAAATTAATTATACTCCTTTGAAATTGGGACAATATTAGCATACCTTTCTAATTAGTTATAGTCAAATTCCTTTGTTCTTCAAGGTTACTTTGAACCACTGTCCAGAATAAATTTCAAGTTAGCTCTGGAGACTGTTAAATGAAGTCGAATTTATTAATACTTACTCGGTCTTAACAGGGGTGTAAGGGAAGGTTTCCTTACTGCTTCCCCATCCTTTCAGTGCCTGCTGAATAAGATTTTCCAAACTACTCCCTCATAAACTTGTTTCATCCCTCTGCTTTCTCCTTACAACACAACTGATAAGTGGCTTCAATGGGGTACATAAGTTCTCGACTCAGAGTTGGGTTTTCTCAGCTTGCCGCAATGGTTTTTGGGTTTATTAGGGAATTTAACATAATTCGGTAACCACAGTACTTGGTAATACAGAAAGTATACAGAAGTTATATACATTATTACATAATTATTTTTTAAAAATATCATCAATACTTTACAACTGGGTAAGGGATTAGAGTTAATTTAAGGCTCTTCACCAGGTTATTCCCCAACATATTCCCAGTCCTAAAAACTTTGTCATCTTAAGGCTACACAAACCTCAAGACAAATCCCTGTCTCTGTAAAGCTTATACATAGCACTTGAGGAGGTAAACTGCAACTGGATTTGTCAAATGCCATTATTTGTACGGTTGCTATTACCATGATGCTGTATTTCTAAGCAAGATGTGATTGTGGCTGTACAGACAATAATAAGATTGCAATTCTGTAGATGGAAAGACACATGGAACATATCCAGAGGGGAAATGGTAACCTATTAATTTTGACTATCCATATATTTTTATATTCTGAAGAAGTGTAAATTACTTAAACTGAAAACTATTTGCATGTGAAGTGTCAACAACGGCACAGCAGCAATTCAAATACCAAGACAGAATTATGTAAAACAACAGGATGCTCTGTTTTTACTGATGCATAACTACATTTTCATATTAGCTGTGCCATTCTGAGCATGCAGATATAAATCACTGCAATACCTTCTTTTATTATTAACACGTGCTAAAAGACCTCTATATGGTTAGTTCCTGTATGAATACCAACCAAATCACATTAAATTATATCCACGTTTGATATACAAATGAATTGTTACTGTGTAAATCTCTCGGCTCGATTTAGCCCACTTATAAGCTACTAAATCTTCTTTATTTAGTGTCTTAATGCTCAAAAAAGTATTTTTCCTACCAAGTATGAAGGTGGATACTCTTTTACATGCAGAAGATAATGCCTATTTTCAGATATATTTTTACACAAGCCTAGGCAGACTGAAAGTTAAGCTGGGATCTGATGCAACTACAGTCTGGGCACACACATCAATGCTGGCCACAGCACAGCCCAAGGCTCACTATAATTCATACCAGGTATTGCTCACACAACTACTCATCATAACCATATTCCAGCTGTGCAGGATAATACAATGTGCATATTGTACCTTGATCAAATATTTTTCCCATCTGTCTGCTGTGACAGACTTCCCAATCTTTCTCATCAGTTTCAAGTGAAGCTCCACCAATTCTTTTGGAACTGCAGTATTAAGAGAGAAAAAGAAAAAAAAAAAAAAAGAAGTTGTTAAGTCTGGTGCAAACATTCTTCAATGCCAAATACTGGTAACACTGAAACACTGTGACAAATTCAGAAATTTTAATAAAACACAGGAACTTCAAGCCTGCTGAAGAGCAGCCCAGCAACTGAGAGATGGAATAAAGTTAATTTAATCACATGAGTCTTTTTGTTTATATTTACATTTAGGATAATCATTACCCTTCCTTCAATTCAAGGAAACAGACCTCAGTGATAAATACGTAACAATTTTGGCAGTGTTAAAACCACAACTGGACAGGAAGTACTTCAGTCAAACACCTACAAAAATACTACCACTTGCAGCACACCTGCAGCTGCCTCCAGAGACCCCAAAGCCATATTCTGCACTATTTCTGGAATATCACTGAATCCAAACTCTTTTTGGTTGGATGCAAGGTATGGGAGAAACATTCCAGAAACTCCATCCTCATAGATGTAGCTTTGCTATGTACTTACTGTCTTTTGTACTGGAGGGACAGAGGAGGACTGTAGATATGGGGCTTGAGGAATGGAGGCCAGAACTGCTGCTGAACACAGCTGCACCACCACTGTCACAGAATCAGTCTTCCAACCAAATTTATACATCTCTTAGTGTACACTCCTCAGAAACAACTTCAACAGCTCATCTTAGCTCACATCTGTGATTTATGAATCAATATGGCACCACCAAGTGGCAAATTTGCAGAATGCTAATTTTATAAGCTAGTGAGTAGCAAAACTTTTAAAAAAATATGTAACTGATGATTATTAATCCAACTCTACATGATGTTAACTTTCTCATTTCTAATTTTTTGAGAAAAACTTAAGAATTAACTTGTCAAGTATTTTTATTTCTCTATTCTTTGCGTACAATTTTATGTTCTAAACACATTTTCATTACTCTATGCACACACACGTTAAAACCTTTAAATCCAAGAACTTTTATTATTGTAATTTATGATTATGATTATGGTTTTTCAGCTGGTCCAATAGCATTATTTGACACAGGATAAACAGCTGGGACACCAAATGTGTTTGTTCTAAACTTGAACATCACTGAAACGTTCTTTCTTTTACTCACCTATACAACATTTGAATACCTGTATGTATCTCTTAGGTGAGCTTGGCTTCACCTAACCTCTGTCTTTCAATTATATGCCTCTATTTTCAGGTGAATACACTGATTTGGTAAAATACTAGTCTGATGAAAACGCTTGTGTTGTTTCAGAAATAAATAATCACTGCTCTAGAAGTTTTATACACAAACTCCTTCAATAAATAAACACAGGAAGTATCAGCCTGGTTCCCCAAAAGAGACCTGTTTTCAATGTAGATAATTCATATGCAATTCTAAACTAGCCCTGTTTTTCTCTTTTAATGCATTTATATTTAATATTTCCACTGCAATTGCATATTGAAGACACCTAGCACATATTCTCCTTGCTTTTCCTGAAAACTGATGCTTTTCATAATTTTGAACGGAACAAGATCGAAGGACTTAACCCCGGTAAGTGTCAAGCACTTGGCACTAACAAAATTAAGGACAAAACGCTTTATACACATGAGCAATTCTATCAAAGTTAACTCATACAGTTAAACATCAGTTTGTGCTTGTGTGACATGGAAATGACCCAGAGTATTCAAAATCTTGCTGAATCAAAGCTTTTGTTTTTAACCAGATCTCTTTTTTATGAGTACATATTGATAGGAACTCTAAGTTTCAAGAAGTACAGGTGATTAATTTCAAATGATCTAATGCCTAGTCACCAAAAAAATCCCTGCTAGAGCATTTGCCTTAGAAAAAATGGAGAACACTAAAAATTACAAAACCTGAGTAATTTGCACACCCTTGGAGGTCAGCACTTCCTGTGAGTTGTGTTAGTACCTAAAGAAACCTCACTTCTTTTTCCGGATTCAACATTTCAGCTCTTGCATTTCTAGGATCTTCATGATGTATAGATGTGGTTACTTTTGCAAACTTCACAAAACATTTCAAACCCATTCTCTATTTATTACCCTTTCAAGATGCTTTTCACATATCACACAATATTAATGACCGGATTTCTCAGCTGGCTTTTCACCAGGTCCTTAGTAAGCACTTAAAGAAATCACATCCTATCCTCCTGGTTTAAGGAAGGAGGTGGGAGGAAACTGCTGTCTAGAGCATGAGAAGTACAGCCTGACCAGCCAGAGTGCCTGAACTACCACAGGAGCAGAAGCCTGCAGGACTGAGAAACAAACTCTATATTCAAACCAAAGTAAATGTAAATACTACATGGATCACACGCAGCAGTATATACCTGACTTGTCCAGAAATACCAGCTAAGGGAGCTCATGTAAGAAGGCTAAAGAGTGGTGGAAAATCCCTCCTTTCCCAGAGCACTTACCTGGTAAGGAATAGAAGTGCACTAGTAAACACAACTAACAATTCAGTCCTCTCAGAAATGCATTGAACCTGCATAACTTGAAACACTTCTGTTCAGAATACACATAGAATTCTTGACAAGAGTTCATTGAACTTGTATGGGACATCAGTAAGGATCATTTTTACAAAACTGTTCTGTCCTACATGCAACATCCCAAAGAGAATGAACATGAGATGTAATTATTTTGGGTTGTGTTGTTGGCTGGTTTTGGTAAATAACAGTAGAATATCACCTCCTTCAAAAAATTTCATCTCTATTCAAGCAGGACCTGCATCACCCATTTCAGGAGCTCGCATAAAAATGTTCTGCATTTGTTAAAATTTCACGTAAGGGAAGGAACAATACCTAGCATCTTTCTTGCATAATTGCCATTCTGTGTTAAGTTCTGGCCAAAAAAGTGTGATGGAACACATACAAAAAAACCCCCAAATCTGAATGAACTTCTCAGTCTTTCATGAAACTTTGATCTCTCTGTAAAGTTATACAGGAGCTCTCTAAAACCTTCATAGAATATACTTAAGCGGTGAAGAAAACACCAGGACTCCTCACAGGGCTAGTAGAATTTGTACAGCACTATTGTAAAAGAAGAACTGTTTCAAAAAATCGAGTATAATTAAACCACGGTGCCATCTGCTAGATATTAAAAAATATAGACTTTTCATAGGAAGAAGTCATGAGCCAGGAAGAATGAGTCACTGTATATACAATTATAAGGCTTCTGGTGGAGTTCAGTTCATTTGTTAAGTCCTGCACTTTTTCCTGGAGGGCAGGCGCTTGTCTGGTCTTACACAATATTCTTTGAACACTATTCTGTCTACTCCAGCATTCCAGGGATCATCCCATACATCAGTAACACATTTCTAATAAATTTGGGAATGAAAATTGAAATGGAAGAGAAAAATGTACGAACATGTAAAAACCCCTTAATCTGGTTAGAACAGCCGTAACTTTCAAACACCTGCACAACCTCAGATTAAAGACCTAGTCGTGGGTACCCATTAACACCTTCCCATGTAACCATAACCCCATTTCACCCCTACTTAATTTCCTTGCCAAAATGAATCACAGCTCACCTAAAAAAACCCTGAAACAGATGAGGAAAACAGAAAACGTACATGACAAAGTCCAGAGGGAGGATAGGGGGAATCTGTTATTTGGAAAATTATTACAAATAAAAACCCTTCATATCAGAGCAGATCTTGAGTGCTGGACACAGAGAGGAAGATCAGAACCACGATGTATGCAGAGCACCTAGTACTGATGTGGATTGCAAAGCTGGTGCCTCCTGTCCTCCTCCAGGGATAGCAGAAGAGAACTCTGAACCCTTCATGCTGAGGGGATTTAGGAGAAGGGAAAAAAAGTAAAACTGTGGGATGCAAAGCCTGCTGGCAGTTTTCATGCTTCATGAACACAAACAGGTCCTCCCAGCTACACTAGTAAAACCATTTTCCATGCTAACTTGTTTTGGCAAGTGGAAGAAAAAAAATGACTCATAAGACATACATGGCAAATATTTCCATTAACTGTATGTTCTTTTTCATCTTTCTGCCTTGACCAAAATTAGCTCTGCATGCTATGACTTCACTGTCAAATAAAAACATGCAAACAAGTGTTCAGGTCCCTCTGCTGTGAATGCTGGAGGGAGTCATCCTGGAGGCACATCCAAAGGCAAGAGCATCCACTCAGACATCAATGAAGAGTTAGTACATGCTCAATGTCGAATAGGTTGCCCAGAGAAGCTGTGGATGTCCCACCCCTGGAAGTGTTCAGGCCAGGTTGGGGGGGGGGCTTGGAGCAGCCTGGTGTAGTGGGTGGTGTTCCTGACCATGGCAGGAGTGTTGGAATTAGATGATCTTTAAGATCCCTTCTAACCCAAACCGTTCTATAATAATTTACCACTTAGCCCATCACACACTAGCCATGCAGATAATTCCCTTTACAGACAGGCCTTTAAGCATAATTTTTTTTAAAACCAGTTGGCTGCATCCCCTACAAAAGGCACAAGAGTCCTTAATAGACAAGTGACCATATTTCCAGCATCTTTAATATTTTCCTTCATTTCTTTGTGAAGTCTGAAGTTCCATGAGCACCCTGAGGCAGCAAACACTTTGTCTTCTAGATTAGTTTCAACCAAAGAGAAGTTCCTCATCTCTTTCATTACACAACTAGCAAACTGAGGAAAAGAAAGGGAATAGTATCTCCCCTTCGGCATCAGCACTGGTTTATGATAACATAAATTTTCTTCTCAAAGAACTATCTAACTTGTTTCTTATCTCAACTCTTAGTAAAAACAAAATGGGAAAATCTTGTCATTGGTATGTGTTAAGAACTTTACACATCAGAGAGAAAAATGACAGCCTTGGTACGAACTTGGCATGATAAATAAATGAAAGGACAAAATCTCTAGTTTGAACCAGGCAAGGAATTACAGTGAACCTCTGACAAAAAACTGTGGCAATAAGGAGCTCCATCTTCATGCAGCGAGCTTGGCATAAAAAAATAAATTGGAAGCATGTGAACTCTGTAATGATTCCCAAC